CACTCCCCGCTCCCCGCCGTCCCCCGGTGCTGTGGACCCTGAATTTAATTGTACGGAAGAGTTTTTCTTTGCAGCCAGCGTTCCCTCTGACAGATGACTGGCAGACAGAGATTATAAAAAATAACAAAAGGCCAGGAGGGCTGGGACCTGCAGAGCTCTGCTGTCTGTGATGCTCAGGCCTTGGCCCTGGTCCAGCAGATTTTCATTGGGAAAGCCCAGAGCACTGAGGGGCAGGAAGGGCTAAATATAACTGGCTGTGTTTTTCCCTCACTGACAAACCCCTCTCTCTCGCATGGTTATTGACCGCGATGCTCCATTACTGTGTTTGTTTCCTTTGGCGGATAACATTTATCTGTCCTTTTTTTTGTTGTTTTTTCCTCTCAAGAACAATAGCTGGTTGGCTCATTCATATCAAAAGGTTAACGGAATCACCTTTTTCTCCTGGTTCCCACCTAGATGGTGACTAATGAATATATAACGAAGGCGGTCCGGTTGGACAATTTTTTTTTTTTTCGTTTTCATTCATAGGAAAGGGCAGCCTGGTGTGGCACGGAGTGTGTCGTCTAGAGCCCACGGAGTTTCAGGACACGACCCGCTCGCATGTATAAATGATGTGGCCTGTGACTGAATGACTGCGCAAATTAATTCATAAATAATGACTTGAGTTTGGGGCTGGAGCCCGTATTGCAACAACACTTTCTTACCACTGCTGCATTAAAAAAGGTGCCTGTGGGCTACAGGGGGGGGGGGCTGGAGAATTGCCATGATGAATTCCCGAGCCAACTACCCATTACTTCCGCTGCCTGACTTTGCCGAGCTGTTGTTTAAAGACGGGAGGAATAGAGTTCTGCTGAGGGAAGCCATATCTGGCGTCGAGGCTTAATATAGTCCCATAAATATGAAGAGGCGCCTCACAAAAGCTATTTAAATACACATAAATACAACTGGGGAAGTTGCCTCCTAATTCAGCGCCACCTCTGGTTTTCACGTCAACGTGTGAAACTGTCTATGCCGTCTGTGTAAACATGTCAGTGTGATGAATGTAAGGAGTATGTAAAGATGCTGTGTGTATATGCATGAGTGCACACAACTATCTGTGTGTGTGTGTGTTTGTTAAATGTCTGGGAACATTAACGTGGTTGTCAGAGTGCATGAGTAACGCCGCTGCCTGAATGTCACACAGAGAATTGGGTCTGGCTCGTGCTGCAGGCAAAACCTCACGCAGCCTTTTCTCTAATAAGCCAAACGGGGGAAACAGTTCCCGCTGCATGGAGCAGTGTCTTGGGATTCCTCTGCTCGCGCTGTGCTTTCATGTTCCTGAATTCCAGGAGCTTTAGACACTTGTATAAATTTTAAAAAATAATAACGTTAAACCTGAGGTTGTTTTGCACCTGGTTAATTCATTTAGAACATGGTGGGTTTCTGTGTGACTCACTGTAGTGGATCATCCTCTGTGACATTTACAGCCCATCCTATTATCCTGACCTCTGACCTCAGTGTGACCCAACAGGGCGAGGCTCGTTGAGAGTAACAGCCTTACACCCCCCCCCTCGCGTTGGCTAACCCCCCTCTGTCTCATACAGCGACTCATCGATCAAAACTGTTTTTTGTCTAAGTGGCTGAAGAAAAGCTGCGAGAAAAGAAAAACAATAATGAAAATGAATTCCAACCTTTTGATGGCCTTGTAGCAGATGATGATGGCTGAGAGCAGGAACACCACTGAAGCACAGCCCACTGTTCCCAGGACTATAAAGTCCATCTCCATCCACCAGGGAGGCAACAAGGGCACCATGGGTTCGGGCTCTTGGTGGAAAAAAACAAAACCAGGAGATAATTAATTTTGACCCTGGTATTTATATCAAATTTATCACAAACTTTAAAGCACTTCATCTTATATATTATAAAATATCAAGCATATTTTCATTTACATACTCTCTCACGTTAGGTCAAAGTTTCTTCCTGCCAATTACCAAAAGTTTAAGCTGGGGTGTAAGAAAATGTCAATCACGATGTTCACGATACTGTATCGATATTCTACAGCACTGTTGCGATTTTTCTGTCAACAAATCACATGCAAATATTCATGGTCTTGGCCCATTTTTGTGTTATGTTTAAACCTCCGACCGCTAGTTAATTTTTGCATCTACTGCAAATATTTGCAAGTATTTGAGACTTTGAGTCAAACCATGTCACTTTATTCTTTTCATTTGTTTATCCAAAAACGTAGATCCCTCAGTTCCAGTTTTAGTAACCTTAAAGTTCAGGATGTGACAGCATTGTTTCTTTACTCTGCTGACAGTTTTACTGCAAAGAAATTAAAAAAAAACCTAGTATATTGTTGCGCCGAAGGAATTACAGTAAATCGCAGTCTGTTGTATCGTTGCCCCCATGTATCGTGATACGTATGCTATCGTCAGATTCTTGCCCCTAGTTTAAGCTAGGGCTGTTTTGTTTCCATAGTGTTTTTAGGTTCCATAGTGTAACGGCTAGCACATCAATTCCCAGGTAGTGCCTCCAGTGGCAGCTTTGTTGGTTGCACGCCATTTACGCTGTAAATCCCCATTGTGGGATGAAAAAGAATTATTTAATTATTTATTGTTATTTGTTAATTGGCCACAGAGTGTATATACGTCTGTATTCACCAGCAGGGGTCCTACCCTCTGTTTGTGTTGTCTATATGACTCTTGACGTTACCAGTTACCAGTGTAGGACAGACCATATAACTGACAGTGACGCAGCTCCAACATACAGACACCCGTCGATTACTGGGTATTTGGAACACAGTGAATTGACTTAATTTAAACCCTTTTACTTTTTTCATTCAAAGAGAATCTGTCAATATTTCAAAACAACAGGTCATTCAGGCTGAAATTGACAGAAGAAAGTTTAAAGATGTTTTTTTTAAAAGGTAATGATCCTTCAACGATGGCACCGGCCGACCGGTCCTTGGTACAAAAAAGGTTGAGGGCCGCTGCGTTATACAGAGACTGCAGGACTGCAGATGTAGCCATTGTCCACGGCTGTCCTGTGGGTCTCGGGGCTCACCCTGTCACCATGAATCATTCAAAGTCCAGTCAGCTTTTCCCACCGCAGCCGTGGGGTCCCACTTTACACCAATCATCATTTCACTGACCTCCTGCTCTTCCTACATTAGATCCATGGAGGTAGAACCACTCACCAGGAATCCTGTGGTAGCGCTGTGTGCATCAGCAACTTTGTGTCCGTGATGCACAACTTGCTGCTGCCTCTTTGAATCAGTTGAACCACGTGAACATCCATCTCCGTAACTCTGGATGGGGATTTGTTACACTTTCTTGCACATGTGGGAAATACACCAGCGTGGATTTGGGAGGAAAAACCAGCATCTCTCAAGTGTGATGCTTTTTGTTTTATATACATATATACATATATTTTAAAAGCTAGGGTTTACACCAGTCATCAGACATTGTGTGATAATTTTCCAAAACAAAAAATTCCCTACAACACAGCTGAAGGCGTCTGAAGAATCATGTGTCACTGTAAATTCAAAATCTCCCCTGAGTTGAACCTTCATTTCAATGGAGATTTTAATCCACGGCTGTAGAATTCAATTTCATCAGTGGGAGGATTCAGGGATTTTTTTTTTTTGTACAGTATTTTAGCCTAAAGATAACTCCGCTCAGCTTTTGTCCCAGTTTTTGAGCCATACATATTCATGACCATTTAAAGCAAAAATTTTAGTTCTCACTAACTGGCAAATTGGACTACTGAAGGAACATGGAGATAATTATATGCCTGCACTGATTAAAATAAAAACTGAGGAATAAAAAAACAAACTCCAGTTTCCATCAATTATTCATGGTGTAATCACCATGTGCACACAACTGCATCAATGGGCTTTTCATATTTATTATTAAATACTGTTTTCTCTGCTCTGAGTTTTTGGTGCTCATTATTTGCCATGAGGAGGATTTTAAATTCTCACTTCAGTGTGTAGTCAGCTGGTCTTGGCAGCATTTCTACAGTGACCTTGAAAACAGTCACCAAAGGTGAGTCAGGTCCGTCTACACTGACCAGGCAGAAAAAAGTAAATAAATAAAATGATTGATTTAAAAACCTTCCACTGGGACTTGAATGATTGACTGTTGTTCCTTATTCATGACATAAAGGGCTGGAGGTGGGCAGTTCTTAAGTCACATTTCAGAATGGCTGCATCATCAGCAAAGCCTGTCCCATATTTCAGCGCACTGTTCATTAGGGAGCTGGAAAAACGACATACAAATCATTTTAACTTTCGGTGAGCGGGCTAGTGAAATATGTTTGTCCGTCTGTCAGTAGATTTGCTGTCTCAGAGTCGTACAGGGAGAGGGGGGGAGGGGGGGGGGACTGCTGCAACAGGCCACTGGATCCATACGGATATACAATATGCATTTGTGCTGCCAAGCACAGCCACACAAACTCCTGAGCGCCGCCAGCCCGACTTCCAAACTAAGCTGGAAATACTGGGCCGCTTCATTAGCTCCTTATCTTTATCAAATTAAAGCTAATTAAATCAACTCATCTGTGTTTTATACAGGGGTCCTCCGGGGGGACGGGGAGGGTGGGGGTGAGGGGGGGGTTCTACCACTGAGCTTGGCAGCCCAGCAGGCACAGATTTCACAGGCAGCTGGATACTCCCCAAGGTCAGACCCAGAATAAATTAATCCTGTGTTCAACTGTCAACATCCTGCTGGCCGTCTCTCTCTCTCTCTCTCTCTCTCACACACACACACACACACACACACACACAGAAGTGTGTGCCCATGCATTGAATCTCAGGAGACTGATGGAAAGTCTTTCCACCTGTGCATAAAAGGAAGCACTTTGCGTCAAAACAGTCCAGTCAGTGACTTGACACGTACATCCTGCTCAGAATGAAATTCAACAGCGAAGCCTAAAAAGACAGGTTTATGTGTCCTGGAGACAGGTGTAAAAAAGTGAGAGAGTCGTACCTGGGGGGCCCAGTAGCCGTGGAGGAGGAGGTGGAGGTGGTGGAGGAGGGAAGGGTGGATATCTCCTACAGTGGCATGCCAGCTGGCACTGTTCACTTACTTTCTCAGCCAAAGTCCGTGAGCATGACCTCTGGAGTTCTCCCTTATGGAGAGCGAGAGGGGGAGACGGAGAGAGAGAGAGAGAGAGAGAGAGAGAGAGAGAGAGAGAGAGAGTTAAGTGACTGGGGCTCTATCCTTCAGTGTATTACACAGAAGTGCCATCAGCATAACATTGTGCTGCACAAATGGAGACCCTTGAACACTCGGCAGCCTCTCACTCTGCTCTGTGGACGTCCTCTGTGGACGCACTCTCTCCACATCACAGCTCCAGTTCTGTTGTTGTTGTCACTGGGGCTGCTGTTTATGTAGCACATGCTCAATAGTAGCACGTCCGCGGCTGCAGAACACTCCCTGCAAGAAACCACCCACAGACAGTGGGCAGCAGACTGCCCTGAGGAGTGTGTGTGTGTGTGTGTGTGTGTGTAGGTGGACTTGGAACTCAGGCAGATCATATTACACATGAACCCTGGCAACACAGCGCCGAGTGTGAACAACAGCTCACAACTATCTGTAGGCAGCAGCGCGGGGCAGAGGTGAGAATACTCATCACTAACATATGCCTGCTGCAGGGATCCTGCTGGGATAACTGAGTATTGTTATCATGCCAACACAGATGGCCACTACAGAGGGACGACTGACTGTGGCTGTGGCTGTGGCTGTGAGTGTGAGTGTGAGTGTGAGTGTGAGTGTGAGTGTACCTGCAGACGCACACGTTTCTAAATGCCCTACTGGAAATTCTGCATGTGAGGAGCTCCTGCGAGGTGTTCCCTGGCGATGGTTACCTCAGCACCTAGTATGTGCAGTGCATGTACATGTATTACACAATACTGCGAAAACTCCAGACTCAGCCAGCTGTTCTGAAATCACAGCAGTGCTATGACAAACCTTACAAAAATGTTTCAGTTCTTATAATGTAAATAAAAATCCCAACTGGGGGTGGAATCTGAAGCTTGAAATGCAACAACAATTTGTATCGTCGTAAAATGGACCGTTTTAGGACATACTGACTGTCTAGACCATGAGCTCAGAAGTCTCTTAGACACTTTCTTCTCTGACAGTCAGCTTCTGGGACTGCATCTGGACAAAGCCCTTTTAAAATTTAAGATCAGAAACACTGATAATTCATAGTATTTAAATCCACTAATAGTCTCTATTGACAGTCCACAGGAACCATACTGTAACAGGCTAAATGAAAAATAAAATATATTTGGTATTATACTGACAAACCTTAAGGGGAGCTCAAAAGGAGCATCCTCCAAAGGCTCTGTTTTTGCACGCAGGAATGGACTAAGCATCCATCCTCTACCGCGTCTCAGCTCGAAGTAGCAAATAATGGGCGTACATGCATCATCTGCAGAGAATATTCCTTGAAAAGTGGAAAAGTGGGCATCTGCGATGGTGTGGAGGTGAATCAATAGCGTAGGCTTTAAGGATTTATATAGATGTGGAGGAAACAGTGATGTAACTTTACATTTCAGGAAGATGTACGATGATGAAATGAGTGGCATTACTGGTGAGTCTGGCCCGCCTGCGGTCCAGATCCTCCTTATGTTGGAAATACGTGATCGGTAAACCCAGATCCTACAGTTTGTGCCCAGATGTTTTCTGGATATGGTTAGAAGTGAGCAGGAAATGATGAACTTTCTCCGAAGGGGAGGAGAGTAGAGAGAAGTCTCTAGTGGATTAAAGGTATTAAAAACCAAAGGCCACGAAGCAGTGGCATCTCTGAGATGTGTCAAACTTAAGGTCCGGGGGCCAAATGCGGCCCTCTAAGTCATCACTTTTAATAAAGTATATACAGCAGAGTTTCTTAACCTGATAAATATATATATTAAAAACACACCTACGACAAAATATTTATGAATTGAATAAATAATAATCAATTTCAGAACCGGTCATTTAAGGGGAACTTTAGTGCTGATGTGCCTCCCCCCCCGCACCCCCCTCCGGTGATAATGAGTTTAACACCCTGTACTAGACGGAGAAAAAAAAAGAACTCCAAGAAGTGCTGAACAAGCCCTGACACAACACATTTGCAGACGACACTGTCATTTCAATGTAGCGTACGTGTTTCATGTAAATATTTGCCAATTGTTTGATGGTTGAATCTCATGGAGAGGCTGTAAATAATTAGAATAGTCAGGCTTGGCTGCAACAACACAGTGTTACCGCTTGTCTCGGACTTTTGCACAGTAGTGATTACGGTGACAGCCTGAGGCGGACGGGACTTGACTAAGACACGGTCTGCTCCACTGCTCCGGACCGCAGTCCGTCAGTAAATCAACCTCTGGTTCTGAGCTGTGTCAACGGACGAGTCGTGCACCTGACCGTGGTCCTTACCTGGCACGAGAGTAGAAACAGTGAGAGAAGGCAGTGACCGATGAAGAAAGGCCAACAACTTAGAGTGAATGGCATCAGGAGATCTTGGAGCAGCATTCCTCTGTTCTGGAAGATACTAGGCAGCGTCTCCAACAAACGAACGCAGCAGACATAGGCTTGAAGTGTTTGGGAAATCACCATCCACCCTGTCCGCTTCAGCGGTGAGGTCTCTGACAGACGTCTCCACAAATAGTTTATGCCACAATCATGTTCCTCTTGAAATCCCGTTGTCGATCGCATAGGACAGGCGAGCCGGTAGAGAGAGGAGCAGATCTCGACCATTCACATCTCCAAAGTAGTTTTTTTTTCTCCCCCTCTTGAATCTTTGCTGGCTCCTCAGATAGCGACCCGGATCGCGCTGCTACCACGCGCAATGTGAGGGCGGTGGATGGCCCGTACCTTACATCCCTCCACGGCTGCGAGCATGAGTGCAAATGGGCTACTCACTCACTCACTCACTCACTCACTCTATCACTCACTCACTCAGTCTGTCAAGCCATCCAAGTTGAAGTAAAACCGAACAGAGAGGAGAGGGAGAGGAGGAGGAAGAGGAGGAAGAGGAGGAGGGAAGGGAGAGAGATGAGGAGAGATCCTCAGGAATACTGTGTGTCAGGAATCCTCACAGCGGGACCATGCATCTCCTCAACTTATCTGAGCAGCAGCAGCTTCAGTGTTATCAGCAGCAGCAGCAGCAGCAGCAGGAGTGGATGGATGTATGGGCGATTCCCGGTGGAAGTGATACGTCCTCCTCAGTTGCTGACAGACAGCGGAGCATCACCACCGCTCACTGGATGCAGCGCTCACATCAGCTCCTCATCCTCCGCGCGTCGTTCCAGCGTGTCCTCACACACACACACACAAACGCAGCCTCTCCAAAAAGTACCTCCACTCACTCCTCCTCCTCCCCCCCAACTGCCCACACAGGCACTCACACCCCGACCCCGCTGACCTCCAAACTGAAGAGGCGATGGGTGGTGTGGAGACTGTCAGTCACTCAGCTGACCGCTGGGTTTGTTTTGGTTTGCTTGTTTATTATAGGTGAACGCCGCGAAGATGATGATCCAAGTCCGAAGGGATGACGCGACAGGCAGAGAGAGGGAGAGAGAGAGAGAGAGAGAGAGGGAGGGAGAGAGAGAGGGGGGGAAAGAGGGAGAGAGGGTGGGAGAGAGAGAGATCACCAAACCGTATTCAGCGTTACTTTAAAGCAGCATATGCAGAAAGTGTTTGTAAACACAAAACAGAAATCACGCCCTCCCTCCCCAGCAGGAGGTGCTATAATGCTGTTTTGATGACCTGGACTTTCAATCTAGCGTTGGCGTACGTTATTTTTTACTTTACTTTTTTCCCCAAATGAATATAAATATAGTTTAACTGATTGGGTTTTTGCAGATGTGATCATTGTGTTAATTAATGTTGATAATTATTTGATCGATCATTGCCACAAATCACTCAGTGGTCCTTGCACAGGCATACAGACAGACCATGTGGGTCCTAGCAGAGTGGGATGTTAGTCGGTAAGTACTTCTGTTAACTTACCGATAATTGGCAGATGCCTGATGTAATGGTGTGATGCTAACGTAGGTCATGCTAACGTAGTAAACAGCCGTGGGTATGTATTTGTTTTGATTACGTATGATAACGTTGATCGCTTTTGTGCTATAGTTGCATAGAACTTATGCGTATGTTTAAATGAAAGATGAGAGACATATGCTGAAGTTGCAATTTGCAACCTCCGCCCCTCAGATTGAAGCATCTTACAAGACCCTGGGTTTGAAACAAAGATGGCCGCTCATTGCATAGACTACTGTGTACACGCTGAAACCTGAGACATCTACTTACATCGCAGTACATTTTTCCTCATTTTGCACAAAACTTTTCCGCTCGGCTTTCGTCAATGTCAGTGTTCAGTCAACGTGTCCAACGCTTGAAAGACTGCCTGTGGTTTGAACAAGGGAAGTGGCAGCCAAATGTGTCACAACTTTCTCTTTCCAAATAACACAAATAGCATCTGAGCCAAATATCCAAACAACTCTGGATCAGGATCAGTCGCCTCACGGCCCTTTGTCGCTGCTGAGTATTTAGCACATTTCCAGCCTATCAAAAAGCTCTTCATATGCAGGCAGTAATGGGCTGAGCTGTGGATGACTTCTAGAGTGGAAAATCCACAGCTGCTGTGGAAACATACAGTACAATGTAGAGATTTTATGAGTTTTGAAGTATACAACGAGCCTGGGTTTGGCATATGGTGCGCCCAGCAGTTCAGCTCATCCATCCTCTACCACCGTCTGTCCCACCATCGATTATCTGACAGGGGAAAAGCACTACATCCTGCAGGTTACTTCCTGCTGCCTCAACTCCTTCCAACAACCAGCAATCTACCACAACATACATCACTGCCCTCTTAAAGTCAGATAAGAGAAGCTCTTAATAAAATTACTGTGATCGATCAGGGTTATTACTCCTGCAGAAATAATCAACAGCCTCTCTACCAACTAACAGCACATAAGTTTTATTTTTAAGAAACTATTTTTTCTTTAAAACTTGTAGAATTTCTACATGTTAAGAAACCATCTAACTCAGATGAGGATATATATTTTTTATCTGTATTTCTCCTTGAATGTTTAAAGGCAGTTGATCGTTATCCCAGTAGAGGTAGATTGCCATCTAGCGGAGAAGTTTGAACATGACACAATTTGTTTTACGTTACAGGTTGTGTGGGTACAGGATTAAATGAAGTAGAATAATATTGTTTAGAAAACAAATGTTCCCGTGACTTTTTTTTTTGATGAAGTATTTCAATATTGTAACCTTCAGTCGTTGTTCCAAATCTTTATATATAAAAACAAAAAGAAGCCTACGTTTACATCGTTCACATTGTTATTGTTTTTTTTTTTTGTTTTTTTTTTACTGTATAACATCTCTGCTGTTTGGAGTCAAAATGATCTATCGTTTCTATTTTCCTGGAGAATTTTTTTTGTTTTGTTTTTATTTGTATTTTATCAAGCGTAGGTCTCTCTTGACACTTTTATTTGTCGTACCGAGACAATTCAATAAAACTGCCCGGCCATAACGTGTACCTTTAGGATGTTTGAAGTATTTGGGGCCAGTTTTTGACACGCTGCCAAAGTTAAATTTATGTGTTTCTTCAAAAGTGAGGACCAGGTTGTGTGTTGTGCTCCTGTGTATTCCAGTGGGGTGACTTGTCTTCTTATGAAGACAGATGGCGCACAAGTCAAGGTTTCAAAACAAGGTTTCAGACAACAGTTAAATAAGTAATACATTTAGCAGGTTATGAAACTCAGCAGTGTGGACTTTATTAAAAGAAAATTAATTTCACAGCTTTTTAAGCTCCCGTGGGCCACACAAATCAACTTGGCAGGCCACACATGGGCCACGGGCCTTGGGTTTGACACATGTGATCTAGTCTGGTTGCATGTCTTTATCTTACCATAGCTTCTGCAAACAAGACAAGGCTGAGAGCTGATCCTTGATTAAAACCGCACCCTTTCCAGAACCCATCTGTCTCTCTGACTGCGCACCTCACCACTGTCTTCAAGTACTTGTTCATGTCTGCACCAACCTTGCACATCTCCTTTTTCATGTAATACCACTGCTTGTCTTTTACCCCAATTTATTCTTTCTCCCAAGCCGCAAAGATCCGATGTCCTCGCTGTTAAACTTCTGCATCTGCGTCAGCGTGCAGAGCATAACTTCTGCATCTGCGTCAGCGTGCAGAATCACAACCCAGCTATATTTTACATTTTATCATTTGATCTGATTGAAGATCATTTCATCGGTTTCATAAAAGAAAGATGGTATCAGTGGATCTTTGCACCAGGGACTCTGTTCTTCTGAATCGAGGTTTTATCTCTCAGTTTTCCTTCATTTCCCGTGCTCTCTTTTATCTCGCTCGTATCCCTCTCTCATCTGCGTCTTGTGACGCTGCATCACTGAATGTCCCTCCTGGGCATCAATACACTGTTATCTCATCTTCTTAGAGCTATTTTTGTGCAAAGAACTGAAGGGGACAGACAAAAACGGCCGGTTCCTACCATAGAAATTTCCATTAATGGATATATCATTGACGGCCTGTGCCAAGATGGCAGAACAGATGGGCTCGGGTTTCAGTTTAATTCTCCACAGTGCTCCAGTGGACCTCTAAATTGATTTCTGTTTCAGTGTGCAAACACAGTGTGAAATAATGGTCTGGTACTTTGAAACATTACGTTACATCAATACACACCCAGACACTTCCTGACTGTGACTTTTCCTTAGTGCAGCGTGTGCACATTTGGTCTCAGCGTTGTTAACAGTTCAGATGAGACTGACTGCAGGAATCTGTACATCTTATTTCACAGTTTATTTTAGGAACTCGTTACATTTTTCACTTTTAATGGACTTTTTTTTTTTTTTTTTTTAGACGCCCATCCACCTGTTCTGGCACAAGTGCAGCAACACACTGTGGGATTTATTGATGCCTTTATGCTTCCTCTTTCTCGCCTTCTCAGTCTCCCTTCTCTTCAAAAGCTCAGGAGTGGGGTGACAGGCCAGGGGAGGGAGAGCCCCATTGTTAATTGGCCTTTTCAGCTGAACAGAGAGGTGAAGGGAAGAAGAAGGGTGGAGGACAATGGGGTCTCGCTGGCTCTCCACAGCAAGAGTAATGCACATTCTTAAAAGATGGACCAGCCGGGGCACACACAGTCCAGTTGGACTCTCCTCAGACAACCCCAAACTGAGTGAATGAGGCAATCAATCATGAAGCCTTCAGCCGGGCGAAAGGAAGGCTGGATGTACTTTGGTGTAAACAGCCTTGATGTGTGTATTTTTTTAAATATAGATATATATATATATATGTATATATATATATATATAAATATATATAAACATACTCTATGTGTGTGTATTACATAAACATATATACATATTAGCATATATGTTTATCTGACATATACACACATATGTTATGTTTATATACATGCATGCATGTATATGTGTGTATAAATATATTTTTTTGTTTGAGATTAATCAACATTCTTAAATTTGACCAAACATTTTTTTCCTGTAAATTATTGAGCTTCAGGTCTTTATTATTGAATAATTGAAATTATATAATTACGTATATGGACAACAAAATAAGCAAAAGGGTTAAATTCCAGATTAAATTTGTTTTTGTTTTTTTTTAGTTTGCGCAGAATCAGGACAGCTGGTTGGGCATTTGGTCTGTGGAAATAAATGGTATTTTGTTTTCATTGACCAAAACCCTCAAGGTAAAAAAATAGATTTTATTGAATCTGCCTGTCTGTCTGCCTGTCTGTCCGTCTGTCCGTCTGTCTGCCTGTCCGTCCGTCTGTCTGTCCGTCTGTCTGTCCGTCTGTCTGTTGTGGCACAGACGTGATTCACTCTTCATCTGGATGTGACACAGACGTGATTCACTCTTCATCTGGATAATGCACACAGTGCAAAGGCATGAGCTGTTATTTACTGGACAAACAGCTTCCTCACGTCTCATTCCAGTGATGCTGCACTTCAAAAGATACTCTCTCTCTCTCTCTCTCTCTCTCTCTCTCTCTCTCTCCCTCACTTAAATAAAGGGATGAAGCTCAATTAGCATTTCACAACTCCCCCTTTTGCCTCCTCTATTGCTGTCGTCCCCGCAGAGCCCATGCTTTCTCTGAGGATTGTCCTGTTTTGGGCCCTTGTTGCCGTTGGCAGGGTGACAGTATTCGAGTGTGCAAACTTGTGCTATTGTCCCCGGGCCAGTGGGAGCCATGGAGACCCCATAATATGACACAGGAAAATGTTTGCTGATGGCAATTCTATGGGCTTTGTCCGACTTTTTCTCCTTCATGACGACTCGATTTAAGTCTCTAAATGTTTGACTACAAATGCAGGAGTGCTATCCAGCTCCGTTCTCTTTGTCCCGCGAGGTTTGAATGAGTAATTCAGCCTTTGTGCTCCTCGATTGAGGGGGCAAACAGAAAGACAAGATTCTTGAGCGCTCAAGCCCCTTTCCATGGTTATGCACTCTTTATACCCCCCACCCCCACCCCACGTTCCCCCTCGAATCCCATCGAACACCATCACACACACACACACACACACACACACACACTATCATCGCATCAGCTGACATCACTCTTCCAAAGAGTATGATGAAGATCCATATTTGAAAATGTCAACTTTTACAGCAGCAGGATGAAGTTGTGCTGCGTCCGCGTCTCGACGGAGACCCTGCTTTAATTCATGCACACACTCATCCGGATTATAGACATATTTGGCCAAGACAAGAAATCACCGTGCAGGAGAAATATCGCATCCCCTCAGCGGCTTTTACAGATCACCATGACAACAATTTGCAATGGTGAAGAATTGGATACCGGGGCGCTTGGAGGCTGATTGGGGAGCTTTGTGAGGGGCCTGGGGTCGCTGATTGGTTCAAGGGAAGCACCGTAACTACAAGGAGTTTATATTCATTCAACTTGTTGAAGTGCTTCAACTGCAGTCTGGAGAAGAGGCTCTGGTGTGGAACTCCTGCCCGCAGTCTGCGACCCAGACCGCCACAAGTGGTGAGCAGTAGGTTAGGCCTTCAGAAAGTCCGATTCTGCCGCGCTATTACGCACGGCCGGATCTCATCCGGGTGTTTTTCCTTAGTGGTGCGTAACAAGTCTAACATGGACTAACTAAGCTCTGAAAAGACGATGGCAAATGCAGACAGTGAAGTCAAAACGCTGCTAAATTTTGTCAATTTAGCATCCAGTGACATCAAGGCGGCCTTGGACAAGTCGGCTCCCTGCAGACGCTCAGTGGATCACAGGAAATATCTGCAGAAGCAGCTGAAGCGCTTCTCTCAGAGGTACTCCAGGGTCCCGCGATGCCACACACACAGGCCTGCGGAGTACGGGTGCAGCAGACTGGCAGGGGCTGCACATCAGAGTGAGAAGCTCGCAGCGACGGCCAGCTCTGGAGCGCAGGACGCGGGGAACGTCGGGAGCGCGGTGGAGCAGGTGCCAATGAGGAAACGGCAGCTGCCAGCCTCGTTCTGGGAGGAACCCAAGTTGACCCCATCCAAGAGCGGGCGCTCACATTTATTAGGACTGAAGCGGGTTCCTGTGGGTGCGTTTGAGGGAAGTGAGAATGAGAAGAGGAAACGCGGCTGTGGAGAAGACGCGAAGGTCGCGATGTCTGCGGCCAGTCGGCGAAACTCTGCGGACAAAGAGACGCTAAAACTGGACCTAACTTCCCACCACTGCGTCAGCGTGTGCGCCTGCTGCCCGTTCCTGAACCACGGCCATCAGGTTCTACACAGTCACATTGTTGTCCCTCATCCGCCTTTGGGACTGTGGAGCAAGGCAGCAGGGACTGAGGCAGAGAGACCCGAGCATCCTTTCACACAGAAGGTTCACACACACGTTGTGGTCAAACCCATACCGACGAAACCCACCCTCCAGTCACCGATCTTCAGTGTGTTTGGATTCATTTAATGTCGTCATTCAAAGACTGGGTCGGGACCTACAACTGGGACACAGTTTGTTTGTGTTCAGGTTCTTTAAAAAATCATTTAAAACTTCGTGTTTACAGTTAAATCTTGGTTTTGTCAGACGTAAAACTTTATATTTGATAAAAGCCCCTCAGTAACTTATACGTAAACGACAGAAAAGGTATAAGAAATATTTATGGACTTTGGCGAATGACGTATTGAAATTTAATTTTCAGGATTCACCAACACACAGTCCTAGTGATGTATATCTGTAACATGACAGTGTTATATCTACATAAATTGCTAAACTATTCCAGACGTGTTAATGTTTAAGAAGAGTTCCTTTAACATTTGAGAATTGAAGTTCACCCTAGAGGCCGCCATTGTTACACATCTTTACAAAAAAGTAAGATAAATGTGGATAAACTCTTATTTAATGAAAGTGTATGATGAAAAAACAACAAAGTTAATGACTAATGATTTGTGTGTGCGCTCCAAAGCCTCTTCCTCTCACAGCATCAGACGGAGGGGTTATTTAAAGCACTTATTGCAATGCTTCCTAACTTGTACTGATTGAGTCAAAAAGGATTGAAATTGCACTCGTACAATAACACGATCGGCTACAGTCTGATGTCAGTATCAGAACACTGACACTAAATGTGAGGGTTTTTTACTTTCAGGTCTCGACAGACACTGGCTGTTCTTTTTAAAGAGCGACACTGTGAGCGTGCTGCTTCAGTTTCCTCTTTCATCTATAAATGTAGAACATGGGTCACATTTTTCTTTTGTCTGTCAAAGTGTTGTTCTATTGGCTCATTTGAAATCACTACTTCCAAATAAAAGACTCACTCACTCTTGATACGTCCCCTGGGCATTAGACTATTTTTACCATGTACTTGAGATCTTTGGGGAATGAGAAGAACATTTGTTAAAGAAAATGAGGAAGAAGTTTATTTTTACATATAATACTATAAATAAATATTTAAACACAAAGAGCTTTCAGAGATCCCATGCCAAACTTCAGGGTAATGTTTCTTATACACGCTAAAAAAAGAAAAGAAAAGAAAAGAAAAAATCAGTTGGCCAGAGTTAAATATCGGATCATTCTTTCTGGCAGAGGTAGACTTGTGAGAAATCTCATTCTTTCTTTTCCTATTTGCGTCCGGACCTTTAACCTGCAGAGGTGCAGCAGTGGCCGAGGCGACGCTGTGGGAAATAAAAGAGAATATTTACTGTTGCAAAAGTCATTAAACCTCGTGTACGTTTCGTAAGCTGTATGTGGAAGTGGCAGAGACATGTTTGCATAATAGGAAGTTGACGATACTGTCTGACACTTACATGACTTCCTCTTGACAGAGTGCCATTCCTCCCGTGAGTCCAGTAGATCAGAGACCTTGCTGCATAGTTGAACCGGACCGACGTAGTCCAGCAGCAGATCTACGATCGGTCCTGCCCACTTACACATACCTGGAGACGAGATCCACTCACAGAACTGCAGGAGAAAATAAATATATATATGAACAAAAACACAGGTTACAGCTTTTGTTTATATAAAAAAAAGTCTTTTTGCATATCCTTCACACCTGCTTTGGCCTCTCTGTTATGTGACAGCAGTTTAAAGGGAGTGTGTTGTCGTTGTGTGAAACATTTCTGTTGCTACCAACAGTTCTTGAGAGTTCATCTCCTGGTGGCGGGTGAGGCACAGTGCCGTGTGAACATGTGAAACAGGAGTCGGCGTCACAGCCGTGGTCCAGAAGGCACTTGAGTAAAGGCAGATTGTTCATGGAAAGAGCGATCGCTGCAGGGAAAGTGGTAGGGAATGACGGGACGTCGGCGTCCACGTCGGCTCCGTACTCCAGCAGCAGAGACACAGTCCTGACGCAGGCCTGTCGCACGGCCATTAGTAAAGGACAGACTGGGTCCAGGGTCACACTGGCACCGGCGTTCAGCAGCACCTCTGCTGTCTCAGCGCTGCTGTTGGCGATGGCGAAGTAGAGGGCTGTTGCCCGTCCGTCAGCGTACTGAGTGGAGTGACAGTGGGCCAGTGTTGAGTTTACATCTGCACCTGTCTTCAGAAGCACAGCTGCCACAGTGTGTCTGTTGTGTTCTGCTGCCAGGTGGAGGGGGCTGATCCAACTCTGCCGCAGCCTGGTCCGACTGGTCACTGGGACAAGCATGGACACAATCCTGAACACAAGAGTAATACAGGATGACATCTGACAGGAAGTCATTACATACAGTGTATATAAAAAGAGAACAACACTTAGAAAATCAATGTCAGACTTTTCACTGATTTAATATTTAATTATATTTATTTTGAAAATCCCAGGAAGTAATGAAATACTAAAAAGAAAGGTAGAAGTTTAAATAATATATTTTGTTTGCTGAATGTATTAATTAAGGGACAAAATAACTACAGTAAACATACAAATATTCAGCAGTCAGTACCTCATGGATAACCCTGGTCATGACTTACTGACCAGTTGTTTTGATATGATTGCTGTTTGCAGTATTCCATCTTACAGATTAGTAACAAAAGCAGAGGGATTAATTAACAAAAGTATTAATTAGAAAAGAGCGATTTTAGAAGGAAAATACCTTAAAACACAGTAAAAAAGTCACATTATAGGAAGACACTGACATGATAAAAAAAACAGAGGAGGTTATAACTGTAGGAGTCCAGTCCTGATGCAACCCAGCCTAGGACTGGGGACTAGGTGGAGTCGAACCCAGAACCTTCAACATGGCAATCCTACCATTAGCTGCTCTGGCTGCATTTGTTCTTTGTTTTTCACCCCCAGTTTAAGATGACTTTAAATATCACCGGGCTCTGAAACACAATTTTTTATATGAATAGGTATTCCCAAGTAGCTGGACTTACTCATGGTGTCCATACTGGGCTGCGAAGTGCAGAGGCAGCAGTCCTGAGGTGGTGGTGGGTTTGTTGGCATCTGCATTTTTAGTCAACAGCACTGCGACAATTTCCTTATGACCGTTTTTACTGGCCTCATGCAGGGCTGTGACGCCATCACATGTCTGCATGTTCACATCTGCACCTGCAAAAAAACCCCATAAAACCACTTCCTTTTACAACATTCACGTATGGATCTGCAATAAGGAATGGGGGGGGAGGGGTGTGGAGAAATTACCTTTTCCAATGAGGTAACACAGTGCCCTCAAGTGTCCTTGTTGAGCTGCTACAGTGAGTGGTGTGATGCTGTAGGTGTTGGGTGGGTTGATTGCAGCCCCGGCTCTTATGAGGATCTCACAGATCTCTGTGTTGTTCTTTGACACGGCGACATGCAGCGCGGTCCAGCCCTGGCCACACCGCTGGTTCACCGTGGCCCCGTACGAGAGAAGGAGTCCGACCATGTCTACGTTCTCCAGCTCACATGCTGGTGGAGATAAACAGAGCATTTTAAACAGCTTAGCAGTGGTTTACCACTGTCTTCCATTCGTACACAAGTGGCTTTGGAAAATGTACCTTTGTATAAAGGGGTTTCTTTGTTCTTGTTGCTGATGTCGGGGTCAGCCGCGGCCCCCAGAAGGCTGTGCACACATGACAAGTGCTCACAAGACACAGCAAGCAGCAGGGCTGTCTGTTCTTGTAACGTGCGTTTGTCAACAGTGCCAGGATGGACTGGAGTGAAAACAGACGAATAAACAACCGTGTTGACAGAGGTTTGAATGTGCAGCATTGTCGCTACATCCCAACAGCTATCAGACATGTAATATGGGTAATGTCCAAATACTGTGAGTGTGTGTGTGTGTGGGAGGGGGGGGGGGGGGGGTAATCTAGGTAGTGTGTTAGATCTATTGCCTCCCTCCTGGACTGTTGTCAGGTCAGACAAAGTCAAACACTATGTCAACAGAAGTCAAGTTTTGGTTCCAGTTTTTTTTTATTACTCTGTATGTGACAAGTGTGTTGGGTTTCCTGGCTTGTCACCTGTTATTGTCCTGACAAGTAGCCAAAGCCAGGATTCATGGTGTGCTTAACAAATAACAAAAATATGTGTCAGTTAAAACCAGATGAGAACCCAGTGGTGACCATACCCTTCAGTAGGGTCCGTAGGCACTCGGCCTGTCCAGAGTGGGCTGCATCATGCAGTGGTATCCACCCATCTTTGTTCTCCCTCAGCAAGGTTTGAGGAGCAGATGATGCAAGATCACTAACAGCCTCTGTGTCTCCTCTCCTAATGGCCAAGACCACCGGGTCAACATCTCTTAAAAGGAAATAATAAAACATAAAAATCAATGCTAACACTTCAGTGTAATTAATACACGACAATGACGGCAATTAAATGAATTGTTTCCAAAGGTACAAAAGGCCGTACACTATTTGTATTATTTCATTGCGGGTGATGACCGCACGCACGCACACACAGAGGCAATAACAATGTCATACGCACTCGGACTCTGACGCTACGTCTCTCGGACCGCCGCCGCCACTCCGTCTGTCTGATCGCCGTCGCGGGAGGACGTTATCACTCTTGGCTCCAGCGTTACGGATCTGATTTAAGTATTCAGAATAGCAGAATTTGGTCATGGCTTTGGCTGGTGTCAGGACGGACGGTGGTGTTTTGTTCTGAGGAGGTGGAGCAGCAGCAGCAGCAGCAGCAGCCGGCGGCTCAGCTGTGCTCTCAGATTATTTTAGGACTGTATTGTCAGGCGACGCAGTGACGGCTTTATCCTTATATGTCATGAGCCTCGGACATACAGAGATAAGGCTAACGGCGCTAAGATAACAAAGGCCGGTCACTGTCTTTAAACGAGGGCCTGACTCATTGGTTGGTTGTCATGTGAAGACAGAGACAGAGAGCCTATTAAAACACTCCAGTTCTACAGGGGATTGGAAAGATTTGGTGCCATTACCGCTAATGTTACTACTGGGCAAAGAACAACGACCCCAGTGGCCGTAACGGATCACTGCACATTAGACATACAGAATCTATCAATGTGTCGATTCCAGATGATTTACATGTTTAATGTCTAATTACCCACAATGCAGCTCTGGATTAATCACGATTAGCCATGATTATTCATGATTGTAATATGTTAGTATTACTGTACAAAGAACAGAAAGACAGATAACAGCAGCTGCTTTGTGAATATACGTATTTGCACATACTAATACCAGTATATAATTGTGTGTGCTTGTGATTCACAAAATACCTCTCATCAAAACCAGTTCACCTACAGGAAAGAGGTTTTCAGATGAGGTTCAAATCACGTACGGTCGGCATGTTAGCCTGTTTGTTTAGGTTTTGACTGACGAACAAGGAAAATGTTGATAAAAAAAAAAACAAAAAACTACACATGCAGCCAAGGAGGATAAGGTGAACCTGCCAGATCACAATATTTATTTGTGCACTGAATTTCTCAAGTTCCTGTTGATTTTAAGTCTTCTGTAAAATCATATTGACCCTGATTTTCTGGACACTCCACAGATTTACAAAGGAAATTTGATCAGGACTTGATGTAACCAGTCGATATACAGTTTAGGGATTAACTGATGCTGCATTTTCCCCTTTATTTTTTTTTACAACACTTTCAGAAGATATTATGAATGAATACTTTACTTTATTATTTTTGTAATTTCTTTGACACTTAGAAAGATGTTATTCCAAAAACACATGTATTTGTGAAACGTAAAATAAAATATGTAATATAGTGTAACACAACTTTGTGCTCACCTGATAAAGTCCACTGTTGCGGCTCTGGTCTGGTCAGTCAGAGAGCAGAGAGCCAGCCTGTTTTCCATATCATTGTTCAGTCTGTGATAAAGAGACCTGGGTCTGCTTACTGCAAGCATCGTGGTCCAGTATGGAGATCCCAAATCCAACAACGGGCTGCTGACGGTCCAGGAGTCAGAAGCAAAACATGGTTCATTTAGGCGAATCTTGCAGACATTAGAGACTAACTCCACTGAAAGAACTGAAGTCTGCACTAGAAGACATCAGAGAGAAGCAGCTCCAACCATCAGCCTGCTGTAGATGCCTTTTAAGGGCATGTTCAATGGTGTTTGGTGCTAGTTGACTTTGTTGCTCCAGACTGATGTCAGCCTGTGTGCAGTGTTACTATGAGGTAGTCATAGATAATAAACACGAGTATAATAAAACTAGATCTAAGGTTTTTATTTACTGAACTGTTTACTCTAACTGTTATCTCTCCATCCACTACAGTGCTGTATATTTATGAGCTGAACTAAACCTCTGATAAGACTCAAACGGAATGTAGTTCTTTAAACTTACCTTTCAACACTGAGCCTGGTCCACAATCAACACTGTGACATGAAATGAGCCCACTTGCTTTAAGAGCGCCGCAGCAATAACAGCTAACTTTGGTTTCACAACCACTTCCTCAGATCGGTTTTTAGAGAAGACCAAAAAAAAAAAGGCACTTCCTGCGTTTGAACTAAACTTGTCCTTCAGCATTTCTCATTTCAGGTACTGTAAATGATCCAAAAGAAACTGTAAGGCTTTTGTCCAAATTTCTCAAGAGCTTCATATTGTGCTCAAGGCATGCTCGGATATTCAACTGTGTTTTACTTTGATGGACCATAATACTTCCAAAGAACCAACAAGCACTTACCAGACCACACTGGCTCCCTGCAAATAGGTGTGAGCCTGTCAGTCACAGACTATCATTTGAAGTGTGGATGGTTTGCAATTACCTAAACCTGTTTCCAGCAGGTCAGCTTGCTTGTAAAGAACATGGCTTTGACAGTGTTTTAAACTTCCTTAAATAAAGTTCATTCATTTACAACATTGTTGTTGTTGTGATTTTTCTTGTTTGACGTCACTGTGCAGTTTGGTGTAAGATGCGAAGGAAACATTACAACAAGAATTTATGTCACAGGTGGTGTGTGTGCACTTCCCTGATTTTGTGGCATCACAACATTACAACCACTGACGAGTCACTGGGCTGAAAATACACACTGGATAAACACATTTGCACTGATGGATAAAACTGCTGTAAGAAAATATTTGTAAATTCACATAAAAACTATTGAAATACCAGCAAAAAAAAAAACAACAACCAAAAAACAACAACATTTGATCAGATAAGCTGAATATTTTAGAGCAGGGCTTTCAAATTAATTTTATTTCAGGGGTCAAATACGGCCTAATTAGATGTGAAGTGGGCCGGACCAGTAAAATCATGACACAATTTATATATTTAATTTATTTTCTTCTTTCTTTTTCTTAAGTGCACCTGTATCTGAAGCAGCATTTTAAAGGAATTAGCCATGCTTTGTTTTTGCTCTTGAAACTTCCTCTATTCTGACTAACACAGGGCGCCCGAAGCGGATGATTTAGAATAGCATTTTATTGTGAGTGCATGGCTTGCATTAATTTTTTTAACCTTCAAAATTCATCAAGCGGGCCAGTTGAACCCCCACGTTTGACACTTCTGTTTTAGAGACACTGACTACGGTAGTAACTCGGTTCAAAGCCTACGTTTCTATAACGCTCATTTACGCCGTAAAGCAAAACCGTCTACGTTACTATAACAACGACGACACAACAGTTGTCCGGTCAGTTACCGGGCAACGGACAAAAAAACATTCGGAAAGAAGCGTCGATCCTTTTGATCGTGAAAAAACTTAAGTACTTTTTGCATCAAATCATTAGGTTTTCTGTAAATTAAATTTCTAAGGAAAAACATGGCGACCTCCTCACTTCCGTTCTTAGATCACGGAGACCCGCGACTAAAACTGAAAGTGGAGAACCGAATCAGAAATGTTTTTGTGACACAGTCAGCAGACTTAAGGTAGGCCAAAATAACTTTACATGGATATGGTTAAAGGTCGTTCATTTCAACAGTGTGACCCTGTTACTGACACTTTATTCACACGTTTCCTCTCAGACCTGGACAGGAGAAGGACGTCGTCCAGATACCGGTGGTTACAGACGTAAGACTGATGCATGACAGCTGTTGACAGACAGTACCTTCGGTTAAAATATTACAATAATACTGTACTTTGAAGAAGCATATGTACATTGTTTGTTAAATCTTCTTTAAAGACAAATCAACAAAAACATTACTTATTGTTGTATTATCAAATAAAATGTGTTACAGGACCTTTTTCGTGTTTTAGGCGCCTGGTAGAGTTCTTGAGGCAGGAGTGAACACTTTGCAAAAGACTTTAGTTCTGAAGAAACAGGCTGAGTTGGATGAGGTGGACCAGCGACTGGCAGTCAGACGGCAGGAGTTTAAGAACAGTGTGGTGGATTTATCACAGAGAAAATCCGACCTGGAGATGAAGTACCAGTTGGTGAGCAGGATCATAAATATCTGCTCCTGAAACCACTCGTGTTCAGTGCAGCCAAAGACTGATGCCTTTGAGTTCCTCATTTTTCAGACCAAAGAAAGGGCGATAAAATTTGAAAAGTTTGTGACTGAAAATGAAATGAAACGGCAGAGGGCAATGAAGAAGTATGGAGAAGCACGGGAGCAGAACGTGATGAGGCAGAGAGAGATTGAGGAGCTGACAGAGCAGCTGAAAAAGCTTCGGGCTAGGTAAGACTTTACGGTGAAATTGAAACTTTTATGCCAATAATTCCTTATTAGTTCACTTTAATATCATCCAGACATGAAGTTTTAAAGGAGAGAATGACAAAGTACCAAATCTATGAAGACTACTTGATGAAAACCCTGAACTACTTTCCTCGCAGTGAGTAACCAACCAGCTCTCTTCACAGTAGCCTCCTGGCTCAGTTCTTGAGGGTGAACTACATTTTGATTAAAAGAAATCTATTTCAGATCACTTTGATAATGGCTCTGACTCCTTGGTCATGCCAATCATTCAGCGTCATGAGACCCTGTCCGTCACCAACCAGGAGCTGCTGCAACGTCTGGGGCGTCTGGAAGAAGTAGTGGAGGAGGGTCAGCAGAAATTGCACTCCATGAAGCAAGAACATGGCACCAGGAAGCTGGTCAGTTTGATGTGGATAGATTTGTATGCACCAAAAAAACTGACAAAGCTTTGAGCTGGCTGTGTTTTTATGGCTCATGCAGAAGGTGAACAAAGAAATCACAGAACTGCAGGCTGAGTTAGACATGCTGAAGGAGAAGAACAAACAAGCTGAGGTGAACCTGCTGATGATGCACAGCCTGTCCAGAGAGAAGGTACGTCGCCTACATTCAATTACATACGATTTTAAAGAGAGCATCTTCTAATCTTCTCAATTAAAATCCCGTCATTCATGTATTTTCTTTTAGGTTGAGGAAGTAGGAAGCCTTCTTATGGCCATCAACAACCTTGCAGAGCAGTGTTATTTACCTGATTATGGAGCCCTGGAGGACATGAGTGTTCTGACAATGTTGGACATGGTGAAGGTAGCTGGAGATGGTTTTGTAAAAGAGCTACACCTTTAAATATATTTTCTTGTAACAAGCACTGACTTAGAAAGACATTTTATTTCCTATCATTTGTTATTGAAGATATTTTTTTAGCCTTGGTCTCACGTGGTTCTTGGGGACATGCATTAAAATGTCTCTTTTCCTCCCTTAAGAAACCCCACAGGACTAGTAAACCTTTACACAGCCAAGGATGTAAATGAAAGGAATGACCAAGAAAGCTAATTAACAAAGACCTCCTTTTCAGGAATACATCCTGGATAAGGCAGACACAGAGAGGAGAGCAAGACGACTGATGGAGTCTGGATCGGCAATGACAAGCAGGACCGCTTTTACAGATAAAAGAGGGAGAGCCTCGACGAAAAGCTCAGGCAGCAAGACACAAATGAATAGTTCGAGCAGAGTCAGCAAAAAGAGCGAGACGATGGCCTGATAAAATTGATTCGATTTTTTTTATATATGATGGATTTTTTATAGTACTGGCAAGAATAGGTTCAGTTGAGCTTGTGCTTTAAACTTTTTCTGTGTTAAGTACACTGAAAAAGCAAATAAAATAAAAAGTCATATATGTTTTCTGGGTTTTTTTTCTTTTGATGTTGTGAGACAATATTACTTCTGTCACAGCTTCTCAGTGAGGACAATGAACAGGGCTGCTTGAATAATGTTAAAAAGGTCTAAACTATTAAGTGCTATTTTGTTTTACATGTTTTAGTATTTTCCCCTCACCTCAGCCTGCATCTGTTAAAAGCTTTGACAAGTGTAGGTAAGGGTAGCTTCCAACCTGATATAATTTATATTATATAATGAATCAAATTGATTATAGGAAAATAGGTGCACTTAAGATATTGATTAAAAATGTTAAGCATTCATGTAATTATATATTAGTCTAGTATCATAAGGCCAGTAGCCCATATATTTAAAAACTGTTAAAACATGACCATCAGCGCAAAGACCTCCTGTGCATGTTCTTTTTACAACCAGTCCTGATACCAGACACCAGTTTAAGTACCTTTAAAGTCTTGCATCTGTCGTTTTGGAACATTTGTATTCCTGCCCTCAATTAAACGTTCTGGTTAAAAAACACACAGCCTATTTAAACATCACAGTTTATTATTGTACCAAAGATTGTATGTGATTGTTATCATTCTCTGGTCATAACGTAAAAGTATAGCATGAAGTAAATGCTCAAGATAGTATGTCATTAAAATGGAAAACAAGTTAAAATGCTAGTCTTGTTAGATAGTAGTGCATTGTTTGAAATAATCTAATAATAATCCCGTTTCAAAGTAGTAGAACGACCACGTATGCTGTCTCTTTAATAAAAGCACGTGGTCTTTGCAAACATCCGGTTTACACAAAATGGAAATAAACTGCGATAGGGATTTTGACACAGCTCTGACGCACAGTATTAGTTGCTAAAGTCTTATGACGTTTCCTTTTCCGTCTGACGTGTATAGGAAATTAAAGGTAGGATGCCACCCTCCGTTAAACTGCTGTTGTTCTAATGTTTATATGTTAAAAAGAAAATCAAATGTTTGTTGCGACAGATGGAGGTTGGTTGGCTTGTCTCACACAAAGAGGACATCTCCACGCTGTTTCTACACCAAACGCCCGATGCCAAGCTTAACGTAGGACGTTTGTTTATCTTGAGGCAACTATATGGCTCTATAGATGATTGTATACACATCATAATAAAACACATTTGTTGTCTCTTTGTCAGGATTTAAGCAGCCAGTTTTCCTCTGTGAGGAAGGTGCGCGGCGATGGAAACTGTTTTTACAGGGGATTTTGCTTCGCTCTCATGGAGTCATTGCTGCACAATTCCAGAGGTCTCCAACGGTCAGTTACTATTACCATTGCTGCCGCTTCGATAGGAGACAGAGAGTATGTTAAAACACTAAATAGACTTTATAAAATTAAAATAAACGTAGCCATCCGGTGAAAAAGTTAAGTCCCGGAAATGAACCGGAAGTAATGGTAGTTTTTGTTGCCTCTAGTGCTAACGACTTTCCCCCCTGTCATAGGTGCATTGTGACGGTTACGGATTTATATTGAAATATCGTGTGCTGGTTAAAGTACAGTATTACAGGCAGACAACAAATGCCCCTAAATATAATTCTAGGACGAGATTACTGCTACGGTGTGGATGTTTTGACATTTATTTAAACGTAGATATTGCTTATTTCTTAACACTTATATTAATAAAATAATAATAAAAGTGAAAAAATAAAAATAAGCGAACATTTGACATGTATTTAGTTAAAGAAATGTTGCACTAAGTACATAAGTTATTAAAATTACCTTATTTCTTGAATTCTAAACTCACCTTTGCCCTACTGCCTGGTATCAGTAATAAGTCTGTATTTTTGTGTATTCGAATTGGGAACATTTTCAAGCTAGTCGAGAAATCGTTGTAGCACCCAAACCAGCTAAACAGTATTATAGTCATGATCCACAACCAGATTGATGTCAGTTTTGTGTCATGTGTTCACACTAACCTGTTAATGGGGAAAATATTTGACCAACGTAAAATGTAATTCTGAAAAGTCGAGACCCAAGCATTTCATGAGGTAATAACAATTATGTTTATAGCAACGTTACTACGTTTATTTTGATTGCATTTTGTCCACTTCTAGTAATTTACCAAAGATTAAAAATTGTAGCAGATTAAGGTCTAGCTTAGTGCTTTTATTAGACAAGAATTGAACATGATAATAATTCCAATTCAGCAGAAGGAAAGAAATATATTTTGAATGCAGCATAACTGCATCACTTTAAACCTGTGGATCAGTGAGACTGTACTCTATGATGCTTGTAAACATTTTTTAAAAGGATTTATGATCTCTATTACTTAATTTTTCATCAATTGAAGCTGTCAATATTCCGATTGATGGCCCAAATTAAAGGCAATGCAACACAATAATAACTCAATAAAAGATAGTAGATGACTTACTGATGTCAGCTCTGACCAGGTTCATAATGGAAGTGTGAACTTCCCATTAGGAGCCTTCCTTCCACTTACAGTGAGTCATCACTCACTGTTATAAATAGGACGACTATTGGTCCACTTACTGTTATTTTTTTAAGTCATTATTTTTTAAATCAGTAATGTAGGTTCACTAACGTGTTTTATTTTCAGATTCAAGGATAAAATAATCGAAAGCGGCAAAATATTGTGCTCAGCTGGATTTGACGAGGATGCCTTCATTCACCACCTAAACACAGTAAATATTTATTTCCTTTTACAAATACCTCTAGGTCCAAGGGTTTTTACTTTGGGACTATCCATCACTCTATTTCCTACAGAATTGACAGCCGGTTTGGTTAATCAATGAGTCATTGATGAGCTTTGGATCATATATAACCATATCTTTTATAAAAAAACGTGTACAAACAACTGAAGGAAATCTTTTTTTGTTTACATAGTATTTGGTAATAATTCATATAGCCACACAAAAACCCCCAGACTTGATTAAATACAGTTAAACATATGTCTTGACATCACTGTCACACTGGCAAGGAAGCAGTTATTGAAATGTTAAAAAAGCAATTAACTCCATTTGCAATTGTGTCGCCATCTTGCTGAAGGTTATAAATGTGGTGGAACAGTGTCAGGCCAGTGACCAGGAGGACACGCTGCGCCAGCTCTTCAACGACAGTATGACCTCTGACAGTGTCGTCCAGTACCTCAGGCTGCTTACTTCAGCCCATCTACAAAACAATGCCACCTTTTTCTGCAACTTTGTGGAATCGCCTAATCTACGTGCATACTGTCGCCAGGTTAGTATTGTGCTACTGCCATCTAGTGGAGACAAAAGGATAAACTGCTATTTCCCACCCATTTTTTCACATTTTAAAAAAGTGAAGTAAAACACAGCTGAGGTGTTTGACGGTGTCCGTTTTGTCTTCCTTCAGGAAGTGGAAACTATGGCGATGGAGTGTGACCATGTGGACATTCTGGCTCTCACAGAGGCTTTGGACATTTGCATACATATTGTCTCAATGGAGGGTGATGAAGAGCACTTGGCTCACCACACAATTCCAGAGGGTGCAGACCCCTCCCTGCACCTACTCTTCCAAACATCACACTATAACATTCTCTACCCACGACCTCAGCAGTGAGGGGTGACACGCACAAGATTCTGCTTAACTCAGGAAAAAAGACTTAAGATGAAAAAAAACAACAACTGCCATTTGACTCTTGGGATAACACATTTTTATACAAATCTTGCAGTTTAAATCCAGCAACACTATTCCACAGATGTAATTATTGCACCGTGTACAAAAACAACATGGATGAACTGATATTTTAAGTTAAAATTACATAGATTGTGTCAATAATTGGCTTTTTTTAGTTAACCAAATCACTACTGCTGCTGCTGCTGCTGTTTGACCTTTTTCATCATCTTTTTCCGTGGTTGAACACTTTTCTTTAACATTTTTTTATTCCGCTGTATTGACACCTGGTTTAGGGCACTTTCCATCTCTGCACGAGGCAGGTGGGGCAGGGTGAGCTTCCCCATTTGAGTTGGGTATTTGGTCTTCAGCACATTCTTAAACACAGGCTGGGAGATCAGCTGCTTCAACTGCTTCTTCATGCCCTTTACCATCCTCTGCTGCTCTCTGTCATCTTCCTCGTCTTTTCGCCCGCCTGTGGACACACAAGGAATCTTCAGTTATCGGAATTTTCCGATTGTAACAGATCTCACTTTCATTAGTAATGTTATTCTGGCCTTACCAAGTAAAAGATCATCATCCAGGTCGACTTCCAGGGCTTCGGCTGCTTGTTTGAACCAGGAATTGTGTTGCTTCTCCCTGCAGTTGTGAAACTCGATCTTTTCAATCCCTCGTGCCAGGTTTACACGCTCCTGAGTGGGGAAAAAAAACACTTCAAGATAAACAATCAAACAGCCCTCACAACAGCAGTTTAACTGGGTAGTTAATGCTGGTAATGCTTACCTTAATCGCTTCCATGCATTTGCTCTCTATGGGGAACATTGGAAGGTCCTCGTCCTTTCCGAGAGTACTGTAAATCTTCCTGAAATTCAACATGTCGTCTGGGCCGATTAGCAGCAGACTCAGACCCTCTTTAGTGGCTCTTGCTGTCCTACCACTTCTGTGGACATATGTCTCAGATGTCCTAGGAACCTACAGTCCACGGGAGAACAGTCCATGCAGTAAAAATGTATCAAAATACATTTTGATAGTTTAAAAAAACAATTTTAGGATGGTGTTTTTTTTTGTTTTTTTTTTTAAATATATATTTATTGAAAAAAAAAACAACCTTAAATTAAAAATGAAATGTATCTTGACTTTGTTACGTCTCAGCTCATCTTTATCAGAATTCAGCTTTACTGGTGTGTCAAACCCTCACCTGGTAGTGAATAACATGCTGAACGTTGGGGATGTCCAGTCCTCTTGCAGCAACATCAGTGGTCAGCAGAACACAACTGCAAAACAAATAGCACAACTTAAATGAATGGCAAAATGAGCTCTGCATTTGACCAGGAAGAGTTGTGGATTGGGTAGTTTCATATCTTATTTCATGTTTAGCTAAAAGTACTGACTGGTATTGACTTTTAGAAAAAATATGGAAACTACGTATTTGTAAAAGAGTTAAATTTACATCGAAGATGAAAATGTTGCTGATTATTTTTTGTGATTGCTAGCAGGTAGATTGTTTACCATCTATTTATCTAACGTCAACTTAATGTCTTTCTCATGTAAAGCATGACCCAGAAATAATAAAGCTTTCAAAATATTTTGCAGCTGTTCAATGTCAGAGGGAGTGAAACATAAACTAGTTTGATCCATTTGTCCTTGTTTGCAGATGCAGTAAAATCATCCTGATTCAAATAATTCTTCTATCTCAGCAGTGTTTGCACAACACTCACCTCTCCCTCTCTGCAAACCTTTCCAGGTTTTTCAAGCGCTGTTTCTGGTGCATGTTGGCATGTAGCGGCAGAGGAGTGCAGTCCAGGATAACCAGCAGTGAGTTCAGTCTTTTGATGCAGTCTATGCTGTTGGCAAACACCATGGTGCGCCCTGGGTACTGCAGCAGGAAGTAATACAGGTAAAAGTCCTTCTCCTCTTTCTGACAGTGGATCCGGGTCTCCATTAATGTCTCCACTGTCGCCTCCTTCCTGGTGAGGTCAATAATTTTGGGTTTGGTCTTGATCCCTACTTTCTCCATGAGAATGTCCAGCTTATTCCTCTGGTCCAGATTCTTTTTCTTTTTTTGCAAGAAGCGAGTAGGCATGCTATGTGCCATGGTCAGTGTGGCAGAAAACACAAACGTTTGTCTCGTAGGGTTAAAGTTCACAGTGTTGAGCATCTCCAGCAAATTCTCCAGCTCTGCAAAGTGGCCTCTTTCTACCATGCGATCAGCTTCATCGATGACCAGGCACCTGCAGAGCATCACCGCCCCAACAACAGAGATATTCATCAAACGGATGACAATCTTTCAGGGTAATGTAGCCTTGTTGATAAACTATTCTCCTAAATAAAGTATTTCTTAGATGTTGTGACCTAATCTAAATTAGATTGTTCAATCATTGCCACCACTGTTAGTATAAAATAAAGTGAGAGCTTTATACATCGTGAAGAAGAAGATTTAAAGATTATTTCACATTAATTTAGATCAGGGGTGTCGAACTCAAATTTACAGTGGGCCAGAATTCAAAACTGGGACAAAGTCACGGGCCAAACTTAATTTTTATTGAAAAATTGACAGACTCACTTGAGTTGTTTGAGGTTCTGCAGATGTGGATGTTTCTCACTGATCAAGTCCCACAGACGTCCTGGTGTAGCAATGACGATCTCTGGCCTGCGTTTTAACATCCTCCGCTGTTTCTCTGGTGCCATTCCACCCACCACTATTGCTGTTTTAATATCTGTAGAGCAGTCATATCATTGGGTATCCTCCAGTACATCTCCACATATCAAAAAAGACAGCTGACTATGAGGTCTGCAGACTTACCTGTGAATTTGGCCACAGCATCAATGTGATGTTTGACCTGCACAGCCAGCTCCCTGGTGGGTGTGAGGACTAGTCCGAGCAGAGGCTGGTTATGTCCACCAGGAGGTTTTTTATCTGCTGCCGGATCACAATCGATGTCTACATTTTTAATGACTTGAACACAACCCAGTCTTGTATCGTCATCTCCTTCTTCATCACCGTGCTCGTCATCTTCACTGTTGCCTTCATCCAAGTCACTATCATCCTGCTCTTTACCATCCTCTATGTCATCCTCCAGCTCTGCGTCTTCGTCCTCCAACCCTTGGGTGGATTCATCGTCTATGGTGGATTCATCCTCGTTCTCAGATTCCCCCAGACTTGGTAAATACAAACTCTGCACCTGTTTAACCGCTTCACCTTGGTCATCAAGAGGTGTGTGCTTCTTATACTCCAGGATGGTATGGATCATGGGAATGCCAAAAGCCAATGTCTTACCACTTCCTTAAAAAACAAAAGTTAAAAAAAATTATTGATTTATTAAACAATATGTTTGCTATAAAATATCATCAGACGCCACCTTACCTGTTTCAGCTGCTCCCAGGACATCTAATCGATCCCTGATGGCTGGAGGCAATGCCAGGGCTTGAATAGGTGTTGGTGATCCAAATCCAAGGCTGCTGAGGGCCTTTAGCACAGGTGAGGGAACAAACAGGTTCTTCCATGCACTCACATCTGTGTTTTTGTCGCAAGAACCAGCACGTGCTGCATTTGTCCAGTTCTTAACTTGTTTTTTAGTTGGCTTTGCCTTTTTGTCTTGTAAGGATTTCTCTTCATCCGGACCCTGAACCTCTGGTGAAGTTTCAGTATTCAGTGTTTTCTTTGTAGCATCTTCCAGCTGCTGTTTCTTTTTCTTATTTTTGTTGCTCTTTTTGTTGATGTTTTGAGTTCCTTTTTCTTCTTCCTTTTCTTTTTCATTGCCCATTCCCTCCTTTTCAATGTCTTCAATATTCTCTGTCACTTCAGCAGTAGAGCTTTCTGGTTGGGCATCTTGCTGCGTTGACTTTTTCTTATTTTTCTTCTTTTTCTTGGGCTTTTTCTTTGCTGGCTGAGAGGCGTCATCGTCGTCCTTGCTCTCCACGGCAGGGCATTCTCCACTCTGCTCTTCCTCAGTAGCTTTTCTTTTCTTTGGCTTTTTCTTTTCCTCCCCTTTCTTCTTCCCCTTTTCTGCTTTGGCTGCTACCTTTTCTGGGTCAACCAGATTGTAACTTGTGAGCTCTTCAAAACAAACAAGACTTTCCAATCCGTCTTCAGCGAACACACTCGGGTCTAGCTCCACGGCTTTCCACTCGCCTTTCATCTGGATGCCGCGTTTCTTTAGCACTGACGACATTCGCTTCGACTTCATTTTTACGTGCTTTGTTTTCATCTTCCTGCAATAACAAACGAGCGCGTTACGCCAAAAACGTATTTACTTCACACGTTTGATCTGTTCGTTAGACGATCTACGTTTTGAAGGCAGATCTAACTATAAAAAAACGTCGCTCTTAGATCTGAAAAGTTGGTTAAAACACGTTAACTGACCGTATGTTGAAAATAGACACTCACATGGGAAGTAAATTCGTTATCTTGAATTTGAGTGACTTCTATATACTCCAAAATCTGATTACTACTGACAACCACGCATTCACGAGGGCGCAGCCATGACAGTTGTTCTTCTTCACGTGCTGGCATATACTGAACTGTATGCGACAATAGCTCAATTCTGCCCTCTTGAGGTCAATGACCATCTTTAGGATACAATGTGACGGATTTTTTTTATTCATTTATTTATTTTTTACAATTATTCCGCCATTAGTGTGTTATGAACTGAATTAATTGATATCAAAATACGCGTATAGTCACCAAACGACTGAGCTCTCTTCCAGCAGAAACAGGGCTTCGTTACAGCGGCAGCCATGTTGAGTAACCACACTTTTACACTATGACACATAATAATTGTTTTATAATAATAAAAGTTTTAAAGCTACCACAAAATATTCTACGTGCTCGGAAAATGAGTGGTAAGTGAGGAATATTTAACCCCATGATAACCATATGGTTTTACCATTAATAAATTCTGCTAGATTAAATACTTTATATTTAAATAACTTTGAATAAAATATATTGTTCGGTAACATCTTAAGATTTTTAAACGATGATTTGCTGGTGTAATATACACTTTTTTTTCTTGTTGCTAGACTTGTAAAAATATTGCTGTCTTTCTTGAAATATTTTACACAATTAAGTTTTTAAAGGAAACACTTAGAAAAATAGCTGTGTTAAGGCAAAAACAAATTATAAACAGAAAAACCGGAAAACAGCTTTTAGTGACAGCTAAATGCTTTTCAGCAAAAATATACTTAAGAATATAAAAAAGCTCTGTCAATATTTTGAATTGTGTGTTTAATTGTGTGTTTAAACTGTAATTACAGAAAGAAGGACAAGGTGGATATATTATTTACAGAATTACCTGTTTACTACTAGTTACTAAATCTATGGTTACAATATAGTCACATGATAAAAATGATTAAAAAAAACATTAGTGGGAAGATAACAACAGATTGACATCAAGTTTATTCATGATTGACAGTCAATTTATTAACACCTTTTATTTATGATTGACAGTCAATTTATTAACACCTTTCACACAGACAATTATCAAATCAGTCATTCAATCACCAGTAAAGAGCATATAAAATACTTTTTTTCTTTCAAAATTAGCAGTCATGTTAAACAAACTCAGTGCTCTGTTGTACGCAAGAGGATACACAAAACACAAACATAGAAGACTGTATTTGTGAACATTTGCCTATTAATTTGAGATAAATGTTATTATTTATTTATGATGAATACCATATTTGTCACATTCAAATTGAGTTTGGAAAGAAATGATGAAAAATGATGAAAGAAAACATGTTATTTAAAACTTAACCAACTTTACATGACCAGAGAACTGCTAGTTTTTGGTGGGGTCAATCACTCTGCCCATGAACAGCAGGCAGTTTGTTTCTTCATGGTAAATGAAGAAGAAAAATGGCCTGTTGATGTAGAAGGTCCTGGGTAAGAAATATGGAGTAATGCCAATAGTTGTGGCAGCAGCTGCAGTGGTTCCAGTCTCATCCACCTCAATCACAGCCTTGTGCAGGACCTGAGACAGACAGTGGATACAGATGTCAGTTTTTGTTTTTAGTCTCTGAAAGATAAGATATACAGTATTTATTGTAAATATGTTGACCCAACATACCTCGGACACTTTAAGGCCCTGGTTCTTACTCAGCTTAGTCAAATTGGCTGAATTACTGAAGACACTGGGCATGCCCATATCTGGTAGAAGAGTGTGCAGGGAATAGGACTGCTCCATCTTCAATTTTGGCATGTTGATTTCCAGCTTACTGAAACCAGAACATGGTCCAAAATGTCATAAATATTTGGTGATAATGACAGTTGCAGATTTCCTGGAGTTTGGTGCATCTTTGGTGCTTTCTGGGGCTTAATGCAACTTCAACATAAAGTCTACAACATTGTATATTTTAGATTCTGATTTATAGAATCTAATATCAGGTGTTTGGTAATTTATGTGAACTTAGGTAAATCATCCAAGACACAATGAATATGTACCGTATTTTCCAGACTATAAGTCACACTTTTTTCATCCTTTGGCTGGGTTTGTGACTTATACTCACATGCGACCTATATATTAAAATATATAATTTTATGTTTTTTATTTTCACACTGACAGCTGCTAGAGGGCACTCTAGGCTTGTGCAACAGTATCTGCTACTCCTGTAAGTCACTTTTTTTATTACGACTTATAGTCCGGAAAATATGGTTGCTATGTAAAATGTTGGTCATACCTTTGGTACTTGGACAGCCAATAGTACTATAGTAATAGTCTATCCTTTGTCAATCTCTGCCAGTGCTCGCACATTAATTATGTACTCGTATAAATGCCTTTAACAAATACAGACTTACGTTTGATACAGATTTGTGACCCAACTGAGGAACCTTTCAGCAGTGATCTCATCATCAATCAAGGTGTAGTCCATGTCTTTGTTGGGCAGCAGGATGAGCATGGAAACACCTTCTCGGTATGGAAGCTTTAGTACTTTTGCTCCAAGAGGGATATCTTCCATCATGTAGAACTTACCCTCTAGGTACATGGTTGGCACGCGGACAACATTGTAGCTGTCAATGTAGAAGGGGGAGCTCCGAGTGAAATCGGGGTTAAATGGCAATTCCCAAGCTCCTGTGAAAGATAAAACACTCCTACTGTAGGTCAGACGTCTACAGACAATCTATGGTTAGTGAATAGTAACAAATAACCCACGGCAGATCTTTGACATACAGGAATGATTGATCTTACCCTGGAAGAAAATTGTGTTGATTAACATGAGCCGAGTCTCTGGATCCAGATCAGAAATCATCTCTGTGATTTTGTCTTCAGTCTTATGTCGTATGTACTGGTTTATGGACCTAATGCTTCCCTCTGTGTCTGCAAAATCTACAGATCTGACGTCGGCATCAAAAAACATCTTGATGTCGTTTTCAAATTTCTTCTCAACCTCAAAATGACGCTCCATAAACATAGCCATGGCTTGGTCCAGCTTCAGCGATCCATTCTTGGTGATATTCTCATGAAGGAGCTGGAACAGTTTTGGAATAAGTTCTGGCTGGTTTACGCTCTCCAGCTGTTGCAGGTTCAGACCCCTGAGTAGCTCCTCATGGGTGACGCCGCCAGAGGCCATCGAGAGAGCAGCAAAACTGTTAGAGATGCTCAAAGGTGAGAAAAAGATGTTCTTGTCATGATAACTGGAGATCTTTCTGTACAGGTTCATAGCAAAGTCCATATTCTTAACGGAAAGTTGTGAGATGGTTGGAGTTGCTTGGTGCACGGGAATAAGGAAGCACATGAACGTTAGAGTTATAGTGAATCCCATCGTCAACCTGTTTACAACCATAACAGCAGCCTGCAAAGATTTAAAAACCTGAAACATAAACGCGCACATTTCAGAAAAAAAAAAATCAAGGATTATTAAATGAAAATCTGCCAAACAAATAATCAGTTAAAATTCCAAAAATGAACAATCTGACATACGTACCATCCAGTTCCACAAAGACTGGGTCTAAAGCTCCATCTATTATTTGGGGAGACAAAGTACAAGTGTGCTCTCTGTGTTACATATTAACCATGACGTCCCAGCCTGTAATGTTGATCCTGATGGACCCACAGCTGTTTATTTAACATTCGTGGCCTCTTTTCTAGCAGTGACGTCACAAGAACTAGCAGCACCTATCAGCACATACACTAATCAAGAAACCACATGACATAGTTATTGAGTGAAAATAACTTTAATCCAGGAAGAATATTCAGCACATAAAATTTCAAACATGTCCTGTGGTTATATGTGAAATAGAAACAAAAATAACGAGTTAAACGATATTAATTGTTAGAATGCAGTGAGTGAATGTGCTGCGGAGCTAAAAACCTTACCAATAACATTTATACTGTCTCCAAAGCGTGTTTTATAGAAGTTAAATGAAAAAAAAAATATACAAACAAACTCACACACCTTACATGACTTTCAGCGCTTTTGTAGAGACATACAGGTGTGTTTAGGTGTAGTGTTTAAAAACAGTGTTTCTCAAATAGGGGGTTTGTGGACCGAGCATGGGTCACAAAACAGAACGATATGGGCCCAGCTGGACAGCTTTAAGCAGTTTCGTCCAGTTGGGTCAGTCACCACTTTAAGATCTTCTCCTTTGTTCAAAAAGGAGATAAAGACACGTTGATCGGACATTTATCAATCCTCCATTTGCTTTTTAATACGAAGGAAACATCTTTGTACTGAATCCCAGCATTTCCATATCGAGTGTAAAGGGATCATTTTCAGTCAGTAAGAATAAATGCTTAAAAAAATTGAATTACAATTCAGATCCCAGGGATAATTGTGTTGAGAATCACTGTTTTAGAAACAACGAGGAATGAACGATGCATCAGGAAATACACACTTCACATCAGCCAAGAATTTTGCTTGTTGACAACAATAATAAAACAGGATAGAAAGTTTCAGTGCCTAAGGCTGGTTTTTTGCAGTCACAGCTAGTAACAGAACAACAAGTTGCATAAGGCTGTAATACAAAGGAAAAAATGGTAAAGACATGCACACGTGTACATCTAAAAAAACAAGTTTGTCTGCTATATGTGAGTGTTGTATTCTGTATGAGAAGATCTAAGAGAGCCCTATTTCTTTGTTCACATTAATGCTTGATTTTTAACATTTCACTTTCGTGTACTTAATTGTAATTTTGTAACATTTGTCACCCTAACAGAATGTTTTCTCAAAATATGGAAGTACAGCGTATTTTTAAATTTCTTTGACAAAAAAAAAAATCCTGGATCTGAATACTTGATCATTCTAAAACACAGTGATTAGGGGCTAAGAGTGTTTAGAATTATCTAACAATCACAATAAACTTTAATGTCATTTGTCAAAATTATATTCTTCATTTTACTATGTGCATCCCTAACTCCAACTGTAAACACTGTCAGGTACAGTCCACTATGAGCAGGGTTTATTTTCCAGACACTTTTGACGTTGTGATTTGATTAACTGGATGTTGAAATATACACATCCAAAGTTTCATTATTACAATTGTTCTGTACTTCAATAATGAATAATGCATTGTTTTCATTTTACCCACATCAACCTTAGTGCAAATGGATGCATCTTTGTACAGCTGACATGTATAACACTGATCTATACATGATTGGAATACAGGAAGTATTTGGAAGGGTGTGAGTTTAATGGTACTTTTCTTTAAATACATCTCCCTATGTCAAATACTTAAGAGACATAATTCTCAAATACTACTTTAGGAAACGTAATTATGTCTAACCATTTTGGTTTTAGTGATGATACTGTGCTCGAAAACCACAATGCATTTACCAGCTACAGTTTCATCATGATTTTTTCTCTTTTACTCCGTTCCCCTCCCCTTGACATATTTCGGACAACAGTTGAAAATTATTGGTGATGAGTCCTTAGATTCAACACATAGCTTTATACTATTTTACCACATGATTACTGCTTACAGGCCTAAAGACAAATCGCCACAAAGTCAAAAATGTGGTTGAAATTAAGGTTCAAGTAAAATGGCAGACACTCTCAGGAATAAAATACAAATGCTGTTGGTCAAAAAAAAAATACAATTTCCAAACCACAGTCACTGGTGTTTGGACTGACACTGAAACCACATTTTAATGTTGTTCACAACTAAATCCACTATGAAGATCTTCCTGGGGCCCTGTTGTTATCCAACAAAGCTTGTAACTAAGGTTTAAACATTGGTCTCATTTTGCTTTTACAGCCTAAATATCTTTGAACGCTGTATTTAAATGCTATCCTTTCCAGAGAATTCCAGAAAAAAATACAAGACTAAAGAAGGACAATTAAAAACAGAAGGCGCCGTGTTACAAAAGCAATTCAAAACTTGGATTAACTGTGTCTCCAGTCATGTGGTCACCCTTTACCCAGCTTTAGTACCCTAAACCTAGTCAGATTACACTGGCTGATGCCTTTACTTTGCAGTCTCTTCTCTGTAGCCTCTGTAGCGAACTAACGGGGAAAACGTGTCAGCCTTTGGACTGTCCTTATGTTCGCACGTGCAAAAGGTTAGAGGAAGGAGCGGAGCTACCCCCCGGGGGTGTGCAAGTCCAGGCAGCTGGTAAACAAACAGACTTATACCTGTCGCAACTTCACTGGCTCTGTTTTGGTTGTTGATCCTTAGCCGAGTCAGTGGTTACAGATCCTGGACAAGAAGGGACAACACATTGCTTTTAATGAACTTCAATCCACTCAGAATTTTAATTAAATGGAATAATACAATTTGACTCTAAATGTACTGACCTGAGTCACCTGTTGATCTTGTGTCCGGAATGTGCTGCTGAGCTTGATGCTGCTGCTGTCTACAATGAGAATAGTGCATTTATGAGAAGCTAAACCCCTGCATTACATACTGAAAGAATTGTAAACAAAATCATGTTAAAAAAGAATTAAGGTGCTGAACGTACCTTTCAAAGTAGGCCTGTCTCCTCTTTCTAAGTTCTTCAGCTGAAAGGTTGTCGCTAAGACCCTGTTGTCCTGTTGAACCTCCCGTGGCCTGATTCTCTAATCTTCGACTTCCTGCTTCAATTACTGAAGATTGATTACTCACTCCAGCTCCTAGCGAAGCAAAGGCTCAGGCTTAAGAACATTTAAAACAAGGGTGTGTATTGGCAAGAATCTGGCGATACGTATCATGACACAGGGGCAACAATATGGTATATTGCGTTATACTACAATACTATAGACACAATAATACATTTTTTCTTTTTTTACAATTTATGTAACAATGCTGTTACATGCTAAATCAGGTTACCAAAATTGGAACAGAGGGATCTACATTGTAAATGCAAAAGAAGAATAAAATGAACCATTGTCATGAATATTTGCATGTTAATAATTAATAAAAATTCAGTGTTGTAGAATATTTCTGTTCATCAATTGTTTTTACACCTTATTTAAAACTCTCACTATAAACCTGAAATACAATTAGTGAATTCTTCACTGAATACAGTAGCTATGATGCTAACTTATTAGTAATTTCTGTAAAACCTTGAGGCTCAGTCATTATTTACCCTGCATGCTAAGTTGTATGGCCCTGCGTAGATCAGCCTCCTCATCCTCCACCTCCATGTCTTGTCTGCTGAGAGCCAGAGCTCTCTTCAGTTCTTCATCCTCATCCACAACCTCATCTTGCGGAGGGAAGCCCATCTGTGAATGGCCAAGAGCGGCTGACCTGCTGCTCACAGTACAAGGCTACGTTAGTCATCACAAGATAATCTCACACACACACACACACACACACCAGAGTTCCAGGTACATTCTGCAGTAATTTACATTTACACACCCTGCACTTGTCTGGGCCTCATCTTCACCGATGAGCCTGGGCCGCTGCAGCTGCTGCACTCTCATGATCCCAAGGATTTGCTCTGCTTCACACTCAGGGAGGTTTCCTCTAATCACAAATATGGAATAACCTGGACAAATATGCATTTAATTAACCTTTCTACATGGCAACATTCTAACACGCAGTAATAATAGCAATATTTCAATACCTTCTTGTTGTAGCTGTGCAAGGAAAAGTGCTAGATAGGTGTCTGATATCAGCTCGGGTCCAGTCAGCAGTGAATTCAGATTAAACCACTGCAATAAAAACAAAATTATGTTTTTTTTTATTATGGAAAATAGCTTATTTTTCCATTGTATATAATGAAAACTGTCTCACCTGTTGTCCAAGCTTCCGTATAGTAAACCAGTGCTCCTTGTAATTGCAAATGAAGGCTTTTTCATTTCTAGACAAAAGATCAATGCAATTAGCTCAAGTTGAACTTTTAAGACAAACAATTTTATGATGTGTAGGAAACATTACATTGGGTTTATCATTAAGCTCTGGTACTCCCTGCTGTTGAAGAGAATTAGTTCTAGGCCCCACACTCCCAAGGCATTGCTAATAACCTAGAAGAAAAATAAACATCACAAAAAGATGAAGAAGTTGCAAACGTTCCTGACTTACGATGATAGTAAATCTTTGAGGACGCAACAAAACGTACTTGTATTGAAAAGAAGCCACTGTCATCCATGTTCCCAGATGGTTGCTATCCAAAGAACATTGAATGAAAAGGTTAAGGGTCAAGAATGCAAAAATAAACTATTGTCACTTGGCTCTCACCTGTAAAAAGGTCCTGTACTCTTCACTGCCCATACCTCCCTCTGCCATCCTCATCCTCTCCTCTTCATCAAGCTGATGAGCGATGGAGGACAGATCCACAGGAGTGAAATACTCACCCTGTAATAGATTATTAAGGCAGTGCTGGGCACACAGGGATCCCTCTTGCTAAGTAAATGTTAGAAATTAAAATGTTAAAGTAGCATAATTAAAGAATTACATTTACTTTTCTATATTTTTTACATGTTCTAATATATAAAATGTAATTTTGGCATTACTTTGATCGAATAAGGTAATCAAATAGTAATTATTCTTAATAAGAATAGTTGGCAGAGTATTTGGATTTTTGATTATCATTACAACTAACATTTAAAAACAAAACCTGGTTTATTTGGTAATAAACCAATTGTTGGATATTCGACCGGTAACAGCAGTCCCAACTTAAGCAGTCCCATAAATGTACGAGTTATTACATACATTTGTATGTTCACATTCGTTGTTAATTTAGCTATAAACAAGCCCAAATTAATTTCATTGTCATGAGACCTGTCCTCAAAAAACTCGGCACAAAACAAGGAGCTAAATACAGCTTTTAGGCTGCGTGTAAACAACAAACACTGTTAGACTCGATAATCTTTAAGCAAAACAAAGAGCTGCATCAAACAAGCTTAATTCCCGTCTTAAAAACGTACATCCCGGTTGCTTCTCGATATTTGAATACGCGGAAGAGAAACTTTTTCATTATTCCTGATCAGCAGGTGCAGTTAGCATTTTAGCTCCCTGGACAACAATACACACAAACACCAGCAACAAGCAACGTAACAACGACCTTACGACTTACACGACCGACAAACAGACGACATTCATTAGATATTTCGCTTCGTTAAGATAAGGAAGGTAAAATGATTTATGTTTTACATTCAAACTTACTTTCTCGTGAAATATGGAATCCATATTCAGCTTTCTGTCAAACATTCAACTCTGACCTCCGGCCCGCTGCGTTCATCACACTGGAAAAAGAGGAGACAATGCCGGCTACCGCCATCTAGCGGTTAAGTTCAAAATGCTCAATATCACCGTTGGCAGAACTAGAACATACGAACATAAGAGAACCGTGACAAATGTGTAGTTAGCGAACACCGTCTCATTCAATTATATAATTTAATAGTCATGATTATAGGGAACGTATACTGTACATTATTACAATTTACATATTTATTTTATTTGTATTAGTCAGCCACGTATAAAGCACCATCCAGTCCAATAGGTGGCGGTAACATACTGTTAGGTGAATGCTGACCATCGATGTACAGTTTTATTTTGTTTACAAAATGTCAGAAAGCAGAATATCATTAGCATAAAAATACAACGCAGGTTAAGAAACAATTTGACAACCTTATAAATATTCACTTATGTGGTGGTTGATGTATATTCTCAGTGGTATTAGTTATTCATGTCTAAAACGTAAAATGTTTACATTTCAGGGAAACAGTTTCCTAGCGACACTTCTTTTTCGTGGTGTTCTGCGATTTCTAGTTCACATGGCCAAGTGGTTACCTCGCGCAGCCACGCGCCCTGTTTATGGATAGTGAATTGCGTATCTTGACTGTTGTAGCATAATATTTAAATGTAGTATCGTAAACTGTGTTGTACTAGAAACATAGATCATCTATCTGATTGTGATCAAAGTCGAGGGAAGTGTTGTTTCAAAGGACTCTGGATGTGAAAAGAAAGGAAAGAAGAAAGAGCTTGCTGTCACCTGCTATACAACACAATAGGAAAATGGCGTGGTATTGATCTTCTAAAATCCACACAAAGCTAATTGTATTGGATCAATTACGTATTTAGAAAGTCGACACTATTTTCTTTTCCTGAATTCGATCAAGAGACTGGCTTCATGCGCAGGACACAACTCCGTAAGAGCCAGGCGCGGTCTCGCGACTAAGGAACCAGTTAGTGCTGAACACACAACCCCACACAACCCCAGCCAATGGAACATGGCGGAGGGTAGTGAATCCATATCCGGACTGGACATTAGCAAGGTATGGCTTTTTATTCGGCGACTGCACCTGACAGCCGCCACGGAGAGTTGAAGACAAAACACCAAAATAAGAAATGTTCGTTTTTATGCAAAATACGATTTGATAGTGACGTGAAGAGGGAAATATTGCTTAACCCCCCTCCAGTGGCGGCTAACTGCTGTGCTAACTGTCTATTTTAACGATAATAATGTTTCGGTTCTCTACGATGGTAACGTTGCGATTTTCCGGATCCACAGTGACACAATGTGTCTCTGGGATTACGGTCAGGACTCAATCTATGTGGATACAAAGATGAAGGAAAACGAAGCAGCGTTCGATCTAGTGTTTTGTCCTAGTGGTCGTTTTGGCTCAAAGCTTCCCAACATGAGTTGAGCACGAGTTCTCAGCACCCTGGCATCAACTTCTGGGAGTGTAGAATCCCTGCAACTGCTTATCTCGTATGAAAGCGTAGTTAGTTCATTTAAACATGTAGCAGTAACTACGTACGCGGTCAATAAAATGCAATGGTCGTGGATAATGTGAATTATTGAGTCATGTTACACATGACAACATCCTTATGTTTTACCCTCAGTAGAAAAAAGCGCAAAGTGATCTACTCATATTTACCTTGATAATTCAAGTCCTAAAACATGTTCTTATGAAAACAGTAATATGTTTCAACATTGTACACTTGTTTTTATTTCTTATGTTATTACTTCTTCTTTCTTCTTCTTTCCCTGGCTTGTCCCACTTCAAGTATTATCGCATTTTCTGTATTAACGTACTAATGCTTATTATACATTTTACTTCATTTTTCAACAGCTATTGTGTGTTTTCATTTTATTTTTCGGTTGTTTTAAGCTTTCAGTTTTGTTCTTTCCTCTTGTCTTTCAAAGAAACTGTGATGAACAGCAATAAAACTGAACATTGCATCTTCCTCTATTAAACCTTTGACCAGTGTTATAAAATGTGAAGCTAAAATGATATCAAGCCACCTTCTATTTACAGTTGTTCTTTCCAAAACAAAATGTTTGAATAACTACTTAGCAAAAATACCTGAAGTATTTCTGGATCTACTGATTGAAGCATTGTAAAACAAAATGGTAGTCTTGAACGTCCAGAACACATTTGATTTGAATCAGATAGCCATAAACAATAAGCCACTAAGCATCGCCTTCCACACTCTTTATAAACATATCAGACATTGCACGAATCTTAACACCTTTTGTACCCTACGTTCCTTTAGGTAGTATGATCATGTGATCGTAGTGGCATGTAAGTTAGTACTCTAAATAATCATATAATACATTTGCCAATAACCAGGAGACTTTAGTCAAATACATTTAGTTATGACTAACGAGGCAGACACAGCAAGGACAGTGAGTCACGCTTTTATCTGTTGTTTTGTAGGAATGGCTGGAGGCCACAGACAGCAGGGCGGCGCTGCTCCGCTACCTCAAGGACCAGGTGCCACAGATCTTCTGCCAGAAAAATGAGTCTAACCCTCAGGAGGAGGAGGAGCTCATGCAGAGTCGACTCCTCCATCCGATGGAGTGTTTCTTGTTTGGAGAAGATCCTGGGGTGGGTCTGGAGAAGCTCAAGCAGAGCAACAGCTCCTCCCAGCTCTGTGGACGAGTCTTTAAAGAAGGAGAGACCGTCTACTCCTGCAGGTCTGCCTACATCCTTCCATCTTGTGCTGAAACAACATAAACAAAGATGGGTTTTGCAGAGTCACACTCAATTTCTTTCTTAAAGTTGGTTCCCAGGTCCATGTTAGCATTAGCAGCTGTTAGCTAACTCCCATACTGTCTAACTTATTCCGGAGTTGGAGTCAATCCAGCCTGCAGTTGAATTGGGTCAATGTTACACTTCATATTATTGATTACTTGATTATTATTGTTTTACTTTGTAAAATGTGATTTTTGTGCAGCTTCACTATGATATATATATATATTTTTTTACATGTTACTGACAACAACAAATGTTTTTTAACTGTAGGGACTGTGCAATAGATCCCACTTGTGTTCTCTGCATGGATTGCTTCCAGGACAGTGTGCACAAAACTCATCGATACAAGGTGAGTGTCAATAAAGGGTTATCCATTACACATACAGTATAAACTTAGTGGAATTCTGTTGCAGTAGCAACACCTGCCCACACATACCACTGCATTTATACATTTGTCCCATTTGTTCCCAGTAGACCTTCAGGCGACTGTGTCTCCGTGTATATTGTGGCTTGTCTTTCACTCTGCCATGTTTGATTTCAGCTGTGTGTCCTGGTGTGTCCCTGAGACAGAAACCTTACCCTAGGTCCTCATCATGTCCCCATCATAAAATATATATAAATACATCAGCAAACGTTCTCCTCATGTCTCAAATCGTATTGTTTTAGTAAAACAATGTGCTTTTCTCCTACATTGGTACACACGTTGTACATACCATGTAGTACACACCACTGTGAGCCATCCAGTTTTTCCCCTCCTCTGTTACATTGTTGACCTTCATTTTTCTTAATTCTGTAATGTTTCGGATGAAGACAGATACCTGTCACCAGAACCAACCTAAATAAAGGGAAACATAACTTAACCTTTTTTGAGTGGTGTATTACTCTTAAACACTTTTTAAAAGCAAAGTTTCCATAGCTGTCTTGTTGGTCACATTTACTTGATGGTGTCTTCCCACACTTTGTTGGTTTCGTAACAGTATGTGACAGTTCCTTCTCTGTGTTTATATTCCCAGATGCATGCATCATCGGGTGGGGGGTTCTGTGATTGCGGCGATGTGGAAGCCTGGAAGATTGGCCCCTGGTGCTCCAAACACGACCCAGGAGCAGCTACTGCCATGGTAACGGTGAGTTATGTAACAAAGCGGATGTAGGGATATAGGAGGGGGCGTCTTCTCACATTCTGTGTCACTGTCAACCAGAGTGGTCATTTTCCCATCCCGTTGGGCGGGGGAGGCTACAGAGTCGGCTGTGGTGTTGGTTTCAGCCATGCGCTTTTTCCTAAAATGTGTGTTGAAATATTTGGTTCAGTGTCAGTTTCACTGATCACGTAATGTCTGCGGATGGACACGGTGGAGAGAACTTTTTGTGTTATATTAAAAACTGTCTAAGAAGCAGTCTTGGTAGAAAATACTTAAATTGTTCACTATTTAATTACTTAACTACAGTATATTCACACTCTATTCTCCTGGCAGATTCCTCGTCGGTGAAAATCTACCTTGAAATAAAAACTTTTCAGATTTTTATTCTGATAAATGGATGGAAAATGGATGGAAGCAGATGCTGTTTAATTAATTAATTCATTGGGTATTGGAGAGTAAATGAAGCACAGAGAAGTTTCCTTTAACAGGTGAATACAGGTGGCAACATAAGATTGAGTTTATAGATTTAAAAAGGCAGGTGTATGTTTTGTCTTCACGTTGTTCTGATGCCTGGCTGTTTATTCGGCCCCTTGTTGACACTTTGTGCTTTCATCTGATAAGATCACAACCAGGGACTGAGTGCAGCCACAGCTTGATGGATCTGGGCTTTGTTCCATAAACAGCAGGTGTATCCTGGCCAGCTGACCACTCTCTGCACGGCTGCTTTTATTGTTTTTATTTTTGTTTGTTTCCTGTTCTGAATCCGAACCTGTGCTCATTAGGCAGTGACACGTCACTCCACCATAATGCTATAGATGCACTGCACATGAGAAGCTATCCTGCTCTACCATGGTCCTTGTCAACATTGAGGTGGATTCTGCAGCACTTGTTCTCACAGACTGGTGTAAATATGTTCTTAGTGATTGTGTTACATGTCATGTGTTTGTATGAAATGTGTGGCTACTATGAGGAATGTTGACTCAGGAAATTTAATGTTAAAGTTGCTGGTCAGCTGATTGTTCGTTTAAACTTAAGTCAAATATATAGACTTTTTTCCTTTCGTCATATACATAGGCTCTGTATAATACAGAAAATAGGCAACTTTCAAAAGCAAAATAAATTAAAACAATGTCAAAATTTTTTTTCTGTCATCTTGACAGGATGTTGAAAACTGTTGAATCCCAGATAAAGATTCATGTTGGAGTGCGCATGCTGCCACTAGGGGATGCACAAGATAAAAAAATGTGATGGCCGTTTGGAGTGTTTTTTTTTTTGAGTGGGATTTTTCCACCCAAACTTGTTGGATAGCTGCTGAAGTTGGCTTCATTTTGGTTATAGGGTTGCCAATGCACAACATTGGCAAAAAAAAGTGTGGTTATTTTATTTTTCCACAGGATGAATGTGTGTTGGAGCCAGAGTTGTGTGAACGTGCTGAGAAACTCTTCCGAGGTCTGCTGCAGTACCTGACAGACTTCCTGATGTGGGAGGAGCACTTTGAGCTGACGTCTGAGCTCCAGCCTCGGTACGTCCTGCCCAGTCATATGCAAATAAAGGAGAATATTAGCAAAGCTTTCAGGTTTATCTGTCATGTTGTATCTCTCTTTCTTTCATAACAGACAAAAAACCAACGCATACTACTGTGTGCTGTACAACGACGAGCACCACTCGTACGGCCATGTCATCTACACCTTGCAGCGTTCAGTTAACTGTGATCAAGCTGAAGCACAGTTGCACACAACACTTATTGATAAGGAGGTATGTCACGGTTGTTGCTTATGATCTCAACTTTGCGTTAGTATCAGAGGATGGTCGGTTTCATTAGTCTTCAATGACCCGCAGGGTCGACGGGCAGTAAAGAGAGGAACCCTCCGTGCCTGTCAGCAGGCAAAAGACTTCATCCGGGTAAATCAGTGTCTGCATGTCATACACACATTTACCATTAACAGTAACAGGTAATCTATAGCTACATGCGTTGCTGTGTTTCAGTCCCATTCAGAACACATTTCCCTGCAGCCACTGCGTGTAGAGATCCTTCACGCGACAGTGATGGCTCACCAGACCTTTGCCTTACGACTGGGCTCCTGGTTCCAAAAAATCATCGGTTATTCTGGTAATGGCAGCACTACTAAACATACAAGCTCCATTTTATTTATTTTTTTAGAAAAGTTGGTACTTTGGTTTTTAAATGAATTGCATTTCCTAGTTTTCTGTAAACTATGTACAAACATTGTTTGGTTCTGTTACTGATCACCCTATGATTGAACTCCTCAGTTTTCCCGCTGAAAAGTTTTTTTTTTCTTTTTCAATTCAGCATCTATTTCTTCTAGAAATTGAACATTTAGTCCACTGATTTTATGTTAACATGATTGTCATGTGACTGAAAATCACTGTGGTTCTTGTGCAGCTGGATTCAGACAGGTCTTCTGTCAGGTGGCCCTGCAGTCCGACACAGACAGGGACCAACCCTGTCTGATCAGCAAACTCATGCTGCATGATGCCAAGTTATACAAAGGCAAGTAGAGCTGAGAGGAGAGTTTATTTCTGAGAAGTAATTTTTCAAAAGTAAACTCTCAATTACTGTTGTTTGATTTTGTTTTTTTTTTCATCATTTCCTAAAGGAGCTCGCAAACTAGTACATGAACTGATTTTTTGTAGCATGCTAATGGAGACGGACTTTAAGAGACAGTTTGCTATTGAATTCACCAAGGTAAAGTGAAATATGTAGCGTAGTTTTACAAATGATGCAAACTTTATCCTACAGTGCATACATATATTTCTATTATTTTAGCACTACAAGGAGTTGCAAAAGGACTTCATCGTTGATGACCACGAGAGGAGCATTTCCATCACTGCTCTGTCTGTGCAGATCTTCACTGTTCCCACACTGGTAACACCAGTTATTCAGTAAACATCCTCAATATGGTAGATTTTCATTCACTGACGCCCGTGTTGTCTCCAGGCCAGACAGCTGATAGAAGAGTGCAATGTGATTAAAGTGGTGATTGACACCATCATGGAGTTGCTGCATGAACATCTGGATGACAACAATCGGTTCTTTTTCCTGGGCTACAACTCCGACAAGTTCTCAAGAATTCAGCTTATCTTCCATGACCTCAGGTGAATACAGAAGACAGTTTTCCCAGAAATCACTTTTTAAGAGTTTTTTTTTTTTACTGTTGATTATGTCATTTTCCTCTTCCTATCAGATATATTCTAATCAGCAAACCAACAACGTGGACTGAGGAGTTGGGAAGGGAATTCCTCGAGGGGTTCAAGGCCTTTTTGGGGCTCCTCAAATGCATGCAGGTGGATATAAGTGGAATTTTGATAGAATTGAATTAAAACGTAGTGTTATAAAAAGACATGAATTTATAATTTCTTCCTTTTCAGGGCATGGAGGAGGTGAAGCGTCAGTTTGGGCAACACATTGCAGTGGAGCCTGAGTGGGAAGCTGGGTTTTCTCTGCAGATCCAGCTGCGTCATATTATTGCTATGTTTCAAGACTGGTGTTCCTCTCATGTGAGTCATTTTATCCACTTTAATTATTTCATGAGTATAGATATTATAACTTGTCGTGATTTGTTATTACATGGTTTTGTTCAATTCTCGGTCTTGTCACTTCTTTCAGGACGAAATATTGATACAAGCTTTCAAAGAGTGCCACCAAGTCCTGATGTGGTGCAATAACCAGCCCTTCCACCGGGAGGCCACAGACTACTACATGTGCAAACACATTCTTAATGTTCGTCCATACACAGTTTCTCTGGAGCCCGTCAGCATACATCTACCCATCTCTAGGTTGCTGGCTGGTAGGAAATATAAAACCTTAGTTTTCTTGTTTTTTACTTTCTTCAAACTGGCAACTCATCATCTCGTGCTGTGCGTTTTGCTCCACAGGCTTGTACCTACATCTGTGCAGAACAGGGGCCATCGAACGTCTTGAAAACCCTGTGAGTGCCTTTAAATGACGTCAACATCATTTTTTTTAAGATGCTGATTTGACCGTGCAGCTGTTTTCAAAAGTAATATTTCTTTGCACTGCAGGAAAGTTATGACTTCACCCAGTTGATGGAACATCCTTTGCGCTGTTTGGTGCTGGCTACACAGGTCTCGGCTGAAATGTGGAGAAGAAATGGGCTTTCATTGGTCAGCCAGGTAAGGCACGGCAGTAGGAAACTGGTTTCCTTTTATTTATTTATTTATTATTAGTTTTGTCATCAAGGAAATAAAAATATAAAAATAATTAATTTTGCTTTGCAGGTTTACTACTACCAGGATGTAAAATGTAGGGATGAAATGTACGACAAGGACATCGTTATGCTTCAGGTTGGCAGATTTGTTTGTGCTCTGTTAACTGCTCACAGCATACATGTATAACACTTACATTATTCTGATATTAATGTCTAGATTGCTGCTTCCAAAATGGACCCGAACCACTTCCTCATCCTGATCCTGTTGAGATTCGAACTCTTCGATTATTTCAATGGAAGTTCTTCGAGCAAAGATCAGGCAAGTGACAGTTCAGTATTCTCTCAGGAAGTACATTTTAGCCACAGACGCTCTCTAATGAAATGCAAACGGTTTCACAGGATGAACTTTCACGTTGGAATCGACTGACAGAGGAGATGTTGTACCTACTGATTGTCATTGTTGGTGCAGTGTCACGTTTTTATTTTCTTCTTTTATTTCTTACGTTAACATCCTCCACGATGCCGCGTCTGACAGCTGTTCTGTTTTCAGGTGAGCGATACGTTCCCGGAATCAGCCTTCTGACCAGAGAGGATGTGACAATGAGGGAAGTCATCCACCTGTTGTGCATCGAGCCCATGGCTCATAGTAGTTTGGTCAAAGGCCTACCAGAAAATGTAAATGACCTCTTATCATCAGGCAAGTTTTTTGGAAAAAATTGACCTTTGTTTAAACTAATGATAAATATATTTTTTTATGTAGGAAAACAATGAGACAGGTCTTGAGTCAGTGATTTCTAAAGTTGCTACTTTTAAGTAAGTCGACACCCGTACGCTCAGATGTTTTACATCGACAACAGTAGTATCATTAAATTGGTTATTTTCCTTTGTTTTTAGAAAACCCGGAGTATCAGGACACGGGCTGTATGAAGTAAAAAAGGAGTGCTTGGAAGAGTTCAACCCATTCTTCTACCATTACACTAAATCCCAGCATAGCAAGGTAACATCATATCAATCATTTTTGCAAGAGTTTTTGATATATAAGCTTCATTTTTAATTTTGGTTTTACTCATGTCTTCGTTGTTGCAGGCAGAGGAGTCTCAGAAGAAGAGAAGAACTCACGAGGGCAACGATAAAGGTGACATCTTAACCGTCACTTATTTAAATGTTAAATGTTGTAAAAAGAATCGTCTCAACAGCCATCAACAGACGTTGACAAGTTTGTTTTCTACTCTTAAAGCTCTCCGTCCTCCGGTGCCCCCTGCCTTCTGCGCAGCCTTCTCCAACATCGTAAATCTGTTGTGCTGTGACATCATCGTCCACATCCTGAGACGTGTCTTACAGAGAGCTGCAGAAGACCGGGCGACGCACTGGACAGAGGCCATGATTCAGAGGGTACACATTATAAAATGACACTGTGACATCTGTTTCTCTGAAACGACCTTTGACCTGACTTTACTTTTTTTATATAGGCTTTGCATCTGGTTGGTCAGGCGTTGTTAGAAGAGAAAACCCAACTTGAAGATGTCACTTTGGAGGAAGTGACCTTTGACTTCAGTCTTAAGGCTCGCAGTAAGTTAAAAGAGGATCCGAGTTGATTTTCCTTAATTTGTGATTTTAGTTGAGATTTTTGTACGAGTAAGAACTAGATAAAAAAGACACTGCCAGTGTCTGCTCTGTCCTGAGATGTTAGTTCTGTTTTTGTTGTATCTTTCGATTACGACTGACAAAATTGACTCATTAGGCGAGTTAAATGGAGTAATAAAGTTAATCAGATAGTTGTATAAACTCCATTTTTCAGTTTAGTCACAAATAACAACAGGTGTAAAACACATACATCTACCTACTGTTCTCTTTTGTCTTTCTGTTCCAGCAATATACAGAAATAAATGTTTTGTCATATTTAGGAGTGTTGCTTTATTTCAATGTATCATTACTAATTACTATTCTGTAATGATTAATCAGGATTATTTGATAGCTTCCGTGTGATTGATCAGGCCTTAGTTTTGACACGTTGACTTTTTTTTTCAGGAATTGGTTCAGAACACGGCAAGTCGGTGTTTCTGTTGCTGTCCAAGATCAAGACTCTTCCTTCTCTTGAAGCTCAGAAAGACATGGTCAAATGGCTTCTGCAGGTCCGGCATTTTTATCATGTTTATCTGTTTACCTTCATCAACCTCATAATCCATTTTTTTGTTTTTGACTCTGTTCAAAGATTTTTGTGTAAATCTTTCTTCCAGATGTTTGAGATTGTAAAGTGCCTTAGAGAAAAGTCCAGTCCAACAGCGTCCATGAGTGTGGAGACCACTAAGCCTGAAGAGGTGAAATAAAACAATACGATTGGTTAATTGTACACATCCATCCATCCATCCATTTTCATCCGCTTATCCGTTACCGGGTCGCGGGGGCAGCAGTCGCCACCCAAATCACATTGCACCGTACCAAACCTTCCTGCGGGTGGTGAGTCCACTGGAAGGTACCAACCGCCCTAACCGGGATTCGAACTTGCCCAGGAGGTGAACCCTGGGGTTCCACACCAATGACAGAGACATTGCCTCTGGGCCAAAGCGCCACTAATTGTACACAGTGGGTTTTTTTAGAAATATTTTGCCACAGATGTAGAGACATGTGAACAACAACTAAAAACATCAGGCTTTATTTTGTTCAAATATATCACTGCCTGTGGACTGTGCTCCATATCTTTCTCTGAGTGATGACATATAACTGTCTATGTTTTTGTGTCTGCAGAATGCTCAGGACAAAGATAAAGCCGAGAGGAAAAGAAAGGCAGAGGCGGCCAAACTCCACCGTCAGAAGATAATGGCTCAGATGTCAGCCATGCAGAAAAACTTTATTGAGTCAAATAAGATGCTGTACGACAACATGCCTGACAGTGGAGTCCACGAGGAGCCTGTCACTGCTGCTGAGAGGTGAGAATCAACTGGCGGCCCGTGGGCTAAATCCAGCACAGAGCTGCTCAATTAAGGCCGCGACTGAAAATACAAAATTTTGAGGATCAAAAACAAATTTTTTGTGGTCCCCACTATTAAAGCAACTGATAAAAACAACACCCTTTATGACTATGTGAAGAAAATTTTTATTTATTTTTTGATTTATTTGAGTGTCTGTCCTGAAAAATTCTGTCTGTCTTGCAAATATAGATGGTTACCCCTGCACTCAAATGTTTGTTTTATTTACAGATGTGCACATGTGATCTTCACTCTAGGAACTCTCATTAATTCTAGTTTGTTGATTTCTCCAGCTTCGATATGGAGCACAGAGAGCTGTGCATTGCGCTTGGGCCCCAGCGAGGCTCGACCCCGCTTGAGAGAGAGGTGCTGACCTGCATTCTTTGTCAGGAGGAGCAGGAAGTGCAGGCCCAGGGTCCAGCCATGGTACTGACTGCATGTGTCCAGAGGTCCACGGTGTTGACACAGTGTAGAGGGAAACAACTGAGCAACAAAACAGAAGGTTTGTTTCCATTCAAAACAAATGTTTTCTCTTGTAGATTAGCTACAGCTGACGTTTATGGATGACATTTGGACTCCTGTGAATATGTTCAACTTTTCTTCATTCATGACTCAGGAACGTCTTATCCACTGCTGATGCCTCCTGATTTGGCTGTGGGGACTCACACTGGCAGCTGTGGACATGTCATGCACGCCACCTGTTGGCAGAAGTAAGTCAATATGAAAAAATACTAATATTCTCCCTCTACACCATGTGTCAAACTCAAGGCCCACGGGTCAAATTCGGCCCATTACGTCATTTTATGCGGCCCACCAGAGCTTCTGTGTACTGGATAGGTTAAATGCAATGGACAAATACTACTTTAGTAGAGGACTACTACTAAATTTTGTATTCATGTGTCACTCCTCTTATTCCTCAGATATTTTGAGGCCATTCAGAACACGACCAGGAACAGGCTCCACACTGAACTCATTATCGACCTGGAGAACGGGGAGTACCTGTGTCCCCTATGTAAATCTCTGTGCAACACCGTTGTCCCTCTCATCCCATTAGAACCACTGGTGTTTAACTAGTAGGTTAAGTCCATTTCCATCAGGTCTATGAGCAGCCATCATTTGATGTTTGATGATTTATTCAAAAGCTTTTCCCGTGTGTCTGCAGTGAAAATGCAGCAATAATTGGACAGCATTTGATGATGCCTCGCTGGATCCAGATCATCTCAGCCAGGATTAAAGGGTTAAAGTTGGTCACTGAGGATGATGGTGAGTAACAAATAAGAGGGGGTATAAATATATAAGGTGTAAAAATCAGTGTTTCTAGAGCTTTTGTTTGTAACTTAGAGATATATATTTATATATGGACTATTTGATTTAATCAGTGCTGAAAACGCACCATTAGAGGAGAGGAGATGAGATGACAAGTGTTTTTCTAATGTGCAGATGGAAATATGGGTGATGGAGACACAGGGCTGTGTGGTCAGGGTCAGCCGGACTTCAGATCGATTCTGAGTTATGGAGTCCAAGAGCCGTGAGTGTAACCGTGTGTTTTCCCTAACATTATTGTCCTGTGTTTTCACTTCAGTTTCACTGTGGTCTAAATTTACTGTCGCTCGATTCCATCAGGAGAAAACTCTCAGCCAGCATCGCAGAGATGCTGGTGGTTTGTGCCACAACAGTCCACAGGGTGGGGCTGCAGACGGCGCCCAATGAGCTGTGTCCATGCGTGCCTCTGATGGCCTGGAACACATGTGCCTTCACAATTCAGGCCATTGGTAGGAGAGTGCAGTTCAGTCTCTCTGTCAGTCTGCTTATCTTTATTGATAATACTAAAAAAACCACATTTTTAATGTTTTACAGAAAACATCTTACAGGACGAGGACAAATCACTGTTTGGGTCATTACAAAACAGACAGGTTTGATGCCACACACTGACCAATGATTAACACTCACAAACAAGTATATATGTATACACTGAAATGTGTTTCTGTTCCAGCTCGCAGGTCTGAAGGCCATAGTTCAGTTTTCAGCATCACAAAGGCTAAAGAGTTGTCAGTCTGTCATCCAGAGGCACTTCTCAGACATGTTCATGGGTATGTGATCCAACTGCATATTCTTTACATGCCATATTAATTAGGGATGTCCCATAATATCAGTCTACTCATATTACCAGCCGATATTAGCATAATTATGTCATATCATTAAGAATCGTTAGCCTTTTCTTTTCTTCGATAATGTCAACCTGATAACAGAATGCCTGAGCGATTTGACCACACACTGAAAACAGGTACATATCGTTTCGGTTGATTTCAGAAATGGAAATTAAGTGTTTGGACAATATCAGCTATGGGCATTATAATGATTTTGTATTTATGCTTTTTTTAATAAATGAAAAAAAAATCCTGTTTTCTCTCCTCAGTCTTGATGTCTGATACGAGCAGAAAAAACACTCCATCCATTTTGGAGGTAGACTTTTTCCATCTTCTGGTAGGTTTCCCATCCTGTCAGCTGTTCAGTTCACAGTGAGAGTGTTGATGTCTGTCAAAGAATCATTTAAATTAAAATGATTTGTTTTTAAATAAATGTATCTGTAGTGAATGTTTCAGCACTTGGGTTAGTTTTTATGCGTTTGTTCTCTGTCAGGTGGGGTTGGTGTTGTCCATCCCGTCGTTGTATCAGGAGGAGACTGTCGATCTACAGCCGTCTGCTGTCAGTTCTGCCTACAACAACCTGTACATCCTGCACCTGGTCACCATGGCTCACGTGATACAGGTTCTCCTGTCATCTGCTGGTACAAACAGACATGTATTTTTACTGGGTTTTTTATATGATACAGCTATACTTTTCTAGCTGATTGTCTTTTTTTTGTGATAAGATAATTTTGTTAATTAATCATCGAAATCTATTCGTTCTTTTCAAGATTCTACTCCAGCAATGAGTGGAGAGGAGACGGAGGAGACGAGAGCCGCCGCAGAGCTCTACCGTACGCTTTCGCAACACACGAGGGGGTACAACGTTTCTGTTTGTCTAATTGAAGGCTGTAAACAAATGTGTGTTCCTTCTAATTGGACATTTATGTCTGGTTTTAAACAACCTCAGCATCTTGAGGAGGTTACGTTCACTTTCTTTTTTTTAGTTATCATTCATTTATGCTGGCTGTTAAAATTTAGTGTCTGAGGCTGTAAAATGTCCAAGGTGAAATCCAATGAGGTGCACTCTCCCACCAGGAAGATTGACTATTTCTATTTTTAAATTTCAGTGTGTGAAACACTGAGCAGAGGAGATTTTTGAATGTCTGTTTAAAAAAAAATTAGCATCAAACTGAACGACTTGTTTCGTGTTTATGTTGTTCCTCAGCCTGCTTCCTGAAGTGTCGGGCAGCTCTGTAGTAGAGAGAGTAAAGACAGGAATTGAACCTTTTCTGCGCTGTGCTGCTCTCTTTTTCAATTGCCTTACTGGAGTTAATCCTCCAGAGGAACTTTCTAGTACGTCTGGTAAGTTTGAAGGAGGATTTTATCATCATAACAGAGTGTCTGGTAATGTGTGACTTCAAATTGATTTATTTTCTTTTTGTGTGTGTGTAGTTACCTCTCAATGTCAGATGGAGGCACTGTGCAGTTACCTGGCTCTACCTTCCAATGTGTTCCAGCTCTTCCATGAGCACAGAGACACTGTGGATTCACTGCTGCAGAGGTTGGTGATCAAAGAGTGATCGACTCTGATGCCTGGCCGCTGTACGTGATCATTTCTCTCTGTTTCATGATCACGTTTTGTCCTCCTCAGATGGTGTGAGAGCCCAGCTGTCCCCAAAGCCCTGAAAGTCAAAACCCCAGCAGTCAGGTCGGCCGAACGCTTTTAGTTTTAATTCACTTTAATGTTGTTACAATTGTGTACTTCTTGTTAGTTGTAGGTTCTCACTGCACACACACACACACACACACACACACACACACAATCTGTACAATAAAAGAACCTTCAATCCAAATGTGGAAGAGAAACTGAAATAGTAAACATAGCATCTTTACAACCACTAGAGGGCGACGTCGTTTAGAGAACTGTCATGTGCATTACACAAGTCAAACACAAGACTGACACAAAACTGAAAACGTACAGAAAACGTAGCTTCATTTGTCCAGAGGGCAGTTATGGCTATTCCTTATTGTATATTAGGAGGAGCCACAACTGCCCCCTGTCTGTTTACTGTATAAACTGCAGGTGTTGTGATTAAATTATGCAAACTTTCCTCAGATATCCGAGGAGAAGTAACTGTTTGATCGATCTTCCTGAGGACTACAGCGCTCTCCTCAATCAAGCCAGCCATTTTCAGTAAGTACGACACATTAGGTGGTTACATAGTGTAGCGGTTGGCACGCTTCGGAAACAGAGCGTCTTGGGTTTGATTCCCAGAGAATAAAAGCATCTGCTAAATGCAAAAATATAAATGAAGGGTCCGGCCTTTCATTGTGTTTTCATGAAGTATTTATTCGTATCATATTTAAATACTCTCTTTACTAAATACTTTCTTTTACTTTGTCCTCAGGTGTCCCAGGTCTACGGACGATGAGAAGAAGCACCCGACCCTGTGTCTGTTCTGTGGAGCCATGCTGTGCTCCCAGAACTCCTGCTGTTACAGTCAGCTGGATGGAGAAGAAGTCGGAGCGTGCACTGCTCACGCTGCCACCTGTGGTGCTGGGGTGGGAATTTTTCTCAGGTGAGACGTCAATTCTGAATATTTCAACCAAAACAAAAAACCTGGAAATGTTTTACCAGATTTCCTTCCCTATGGTTTTATTGTATGTCATTCCCTAACGCAGGTCAAGTCTGGAGTCAATTAAAGAGAGTTTGTTTTGTTGACAGAATAAGAAAGTGTGAAATAATCCTGATGGCCAGTAAGACACGGGTGAGCACGTACCCAGCTCCTTACCTGGACGATTATGGGGAGACGGACCCTAACCTCGTGTAAGCACTGCTGCTTTTATTAAGATGACAAAACCTTCTGTTTTTTATTTAATTTCTTTTATAACAACATACACATATCGACGTAGGAAAAGTGTGAAACAAAAAAAAGAAAATGATGCTACGTGACAGTTGTGCATTAAATGCCTGTATGAGTAATATGTAAAATCAGTGGAAATAAATTTCAGTTTTTTGAGTGAATGCGAAGGCTACGTAGTATATGTAGTACGTACGTAGTTTTCTGAAAAAAATCTTCAAAAATAAAAGTAAATAGATAAAAATACACTCATTTGCCTTAAAATAAGTAGCTACAGTATGTTTAAAATGTTTAAAATTCTGACTATATATACATACTGTATATATATTTATTAAACTTTTTTTTTAGATACCAAGCATTCAAATTGAATCATTTCAAGCTTACTGACAATTTAATGAGCTCCACAGCCATTTTAATTTGGACAATGTCCTTAAATCACTGTTGTCGTCTCTGTTGTCCTTCCAGAAGAGGCAATCCTCTGCACCTCTGCCCAGAGCGCTACAGGAAGCTGAACCAGCTGTGGAGGCAGCACTGCATCCTGGAAGAAATCGCCCGCAGTCTGGAGGTGGCCAACGTGATGTTTGCCTTCGAGTGGCAGATGTTGTGATGACTGCTGCAGCCGCCATCATCCTCTAGGGTACATCACAGTTGTCCATTATCCAATCTGCTTCAGTGGTCCTGAGGCACATGCATACACACAAACTCACACACATGTGCTATATACACACACATATATGTATAATAACACACACAAACAGTACTCCATTGATCTATGGAGACTGAAGAAGCAGATTTTTCCCTACTGAAATCCCCGCAGGAGTCAAGAAGTCAGACAGGAGGAGGAGGACAGAGGACAACGTTAGTAAACACTTTTTATTTCCTTATCTGCTGAGAGAATTTTTCTTTTTCATTCACACTCACATAAAGGACAAAATGTCAAATTAGACTTAAATGTTTATCTATTACCAGTCTGTTCACAGCCGTAAAAGAAAATGTCTGGAAACTTCTTTCATTCATTCACCTTCTTTGTGTTACCTTTTTATTATAGATCTATCATAAAAAAAATCCAGTCATTTGCTGGCCCTGCATGGTACAGCGTACTTCCGCTCATAGTTGTTAACGGACACTCTTGGATTTGCATATTTAGCGATATTCCAATTAAAACTGAAAAATAAAGCCCATAAGAATGATATGCATAAACACACTGTACAACGCTGCTTTACAAAATCATTTTGTTGTACAGTGTAAAAGCGATATTAAGATACTGTTTGGGACCACAGTCATTAAAAATTCATTTCACTCTGTGTATTTACTCACTTAATGAGAATGAAGTAAATGAACTATTGCAATATTCTATTTAAAGAATAAAAATGTACATTTATAGAAAAACAGTCTGACACGACACAGTCTTTGTTGTTCTATTCATTTTTTTATCCTTAAGAATTGTGTGAATACATCTTTGTGTTAGCCAGTATTACCATTATCTTCCAAGTTGTGTTCATCAAAAATATTAGTGTACAGTAACAGTCAAACAGTTCCTGCACTTTGAGCCAATCAGAGCGCAGTGTTATGGCTGTTCCTGCCCTCTGTTAAATCTTTATAACACGCAGGTTTAACAGATGCAAACAGAATGGTGAAACGTTGCTTCTTTTTCTCCTTCACATCAATAAATAAATTAAAAATTTCAATTATGAATTTTGTTTTTTTTATGTGGGATCATCTCTTTGGATGACAGGTGATCAGACCTACAGCAGCTGCTAAATAACCTGAATTCTTTGTAAAATATTTCCAAGTTTTTTTCACACAAACCAAATTTTACCACTGCTTTTCTGAACATATTTACTTTAGAATTAATAAACTCTTCAAGTATAGTATGGTATAGTTTAGATATTTTTTTTTTCAGAATTTTTCATATTCAATTGTCAGTTTTGGCAAGCTGTTCGAAAATAATGTTGAAATTTTTTTTTTAAAAATTAAATTTTTTCCTCATGTTCCTCGTCATATTAAAATATTGCGACAATTTAAAAAAAATTTAGGAAAATCTTTTGGGAAATTTGTTCGCAAAATCTGAATTTGTCGTGTTTTGGTCAGATGGTGAAAAATGTTGAAGAACATCTTTCAAAAAAAAGATAAATCGTATGTTTTCTGCATGTTTCTTATCAAATTAGAGCATTTTGAAAAAAACCTTTTGGTGAAATGTTGAAAAATTTTGAAGACAATTTTTGAAATGTTATTTTCAAACTTTTATGTCTTCTCCATTTTTCTCATCGCAATCAAAACATTTTTAAAGGTTTTGGAAAAAAAACTTTTTTTTTTTTTTTCCGCCAAAACCTAAATTTTGATCAGATGTTGAAATATTTTGATGAAACTTTTTGAAAATTTCTTTTAAAAATTTTATCTTTTCTGAACATTTCTCCTAAAAATATAGTTTTTTGAAACATTTTTGAAAAAAACAATTTGGAATGTTTCAGCAAGACCCTAATTTTTGGTCAGATGTTTAAAAATATTGATGAAAATATTTGAAAATGTGTTTTATCTTTTCTGCATGTTTCTCATCAAAATATAGTGTATTGAAAACAAATTTTAGGAAAAAAATGATTTTGAAAAGTTTTTAGAAAAAATATTTTTGAATAATGTTTAGAATTTTATTTTTAATTGTCATGAAAAGTCATGAAAATTGTCATGAAAAGCCTAATGTGGTAAGATGTTGATTTTCTTGGCGAATTTTTCAGCAAGACCTTAATATTTGGACAGATGTTGAAAAATTTACTTTTAAAATGTTATCTTCTCTCTGTTTCCCATTGAATTATATTATTTTAAAAATGTTTTTGGAAATTTTTTTTGAAAAATCTTTCAACCTAACTTTGGTCAGATGTTGAAAAATATTGATGAAAATCTTTGAAAAAAAAATCAAAATTTTATCATTTCTGAATATTTCTCATCAAAATAGTGAATCTAAAACTGTTTTTAGACAAAATAATTTTGAAATATTTTTGGGAAAAATTAAATTTCAAATTAATTTTTTTTTATTATTCTCAAAAACCTAATTTTTTTGGTCAGATGTTGAAAAATAAAAAGAATTCTGTATGTAGTGTTTTGAAAACATTTTTGAAAAAAAAAAAGATTTTTTAAAAAAAAAGTTTGTATAAATAATAAAATAAAATTAGTGCCCGTAGAAAACATTTTTAGAATTTTTTCTGTTAAAAACCATTAGTCAAAATGTCAGTTTTTCATTTTTGGTTAAAAACTACAAAATCTCGACAAAAAATTTTGTAAAATTATTTTTCAAAATTGTATCTTTGCCTGCATGTTTCTCATAAAATTAGTGCCCGTAGAAATCTTTTTTTTACAAATTTTTCTGTTTAAAACTTTTTGTCAAAATGTCAGTTTTTCATGTCATTTTTGGTTAAAATCGAAGAAATTTTGACAGAAATGTTTGTAAAATTATTTTTCAAAATTGTATCTTTACCTGCATGTTTCTCATAAAATTAGTGAACATAAAGAACATTTTTAGAAATTTTTCTTAATAAAATGTTCTGTCAAAATGTCAGTTTTTCGTGTCATTTTTGGTCAAAAACTAAAATATTTTGATAAAAATGTTTGTAAATTTTTTTTTCAGAATTGTATCTTTGCCTGCATGTTTCTCATAAAATTAGTGCCCGTAGAGAACATTTTTACAAATTTTTCTGTTTAAAACTTTTTACCAAAATGTCAGTTTTTGATGTCATTTTTGGTTAAAAACTAAGAAACTTTGATGAAAAAGTTGGTAATTTTTTTTTCAAAACTGTATCTTTGCCTGCATGTTTCTCATAAAATTAGTGC